CATAACGCATGTTTTAAATATATATTTTTGAATGAATGAGGTTTAAACAGCTATGTAAAATTGGCACATTTTCATGAATAGTTTTTAATGGTTTGGGTTGTTTATATACCTATATATGTGTTTATTTAACAGGCATTTATTTTCACCTACTGTGAGTGGATGATGTATGGGGGACATTTCTAACCTTTTAGGGTGCTGGACAAATGCACAAGTAATACAAGAATATGAAAATGAGGAAGAGAGAAGTGTTGAATGTGCGCTATAGCCAGCTCTGAGTTTCCAAATGAGTGTCATTATATCCTGTGTGAAGGGTGTAATAGCAAGTTCTGCTGATATCCAAGTGCAGATACAGGAAGTCCCTCCACCAATGACCTTGACAAACCATAAGACCTGCATGAATCTCACTGTTCTTTCTACTACCTCATAAAGTAGCTACAAATATTAAGAGAGTGATGAGGACCTCCCCTGTGGTGTAGGTGGTTCAGGGCCGTACTCTGAAGCTGTCCGCAGCCTCTGCAGCACAGGTTCGATCCCGGCTGGCCGGCAAGAATCCCACATGGTGAGCAGACCTCTCCTGTCTCGCCCACTGCTCCCTTCAGCAGCATATTTTGTCAGTCTGCCTGTTCTGTTCCCCACTCTGTCTCTGGTGAATCCTCTCACCCTCCCACGCATCTGGCCTGTACCCCGGTTCTTGTATAAATAAATAAATTTTTAAAAAAGAGAGAGCATAATGAGACAGAACTTTATAATCTGTGCATATTTACATAATATACGGAACTAAGTCTGCTCCAGAAGCATGATTACTAGTTCCCTTATCCTGAGTCTGTAGTCAAATCACTAAACAAGATACAAAGTCCACTTTTAAATCTTATTCCAATGATGTCATCAGTGTTAAAGTCCTAAGGTGGGAGTGTAAGGGAGAGAGTGGCACCTGCTTTTAAATATCATTTCAGAAGCTAGGAGGGCAAGGATGTTTAGCAACTGTGAACTGAAAACTAATGAGTTCACACCAAGAGGTATAGTAACATGGAACAAACAATTATCGAGGGGTCAGAAGATCTCACTCTTAGTCTGGTTCTGCTTTTTATTATTTATATAACCTTGGAAAAGAAGTTAAACTGTTTCCTCACCTGGAAAATTGGGACTGTAGCATTTCACAAGGTTCTTTTAAAGATCAAGGGACATAATACACTTGTGCTCTAAATCCATTTAAAGACTATTGTCTCTAAATCCATTGTCCACACTAAAATGACAGGGACTCCTTGTAGAAATATCTAATTCCAGGTCTAGGTCACAAAATGTTCAGGATGAGCCTGAACATCTTGATTTACGAGAAAAAATAAGGATATTCTCCAAGACTACTAGGCTAACACCAAAAGAACAGAGGACTCATATGAAGGAGCTCCCACTGGCCAAACATGAACACATTGAACATTTAAAAAATAATAAAAATGAGGCCTCCCTGGTGGTGCAAGGTGTTAAGACACAACCTATGAAGCTATCCGCAGCCACTGAAGCACAAGTTCGATCCCCAGCCAGGGAGCAACCCACATGGCGCAGCAGACCTCTCCTGACTCGCCCGCTGCTCCCCTCAGCAGTGTATTTCCGTCGATCTGCCTGTTCTGTTCCCCGCTCTGTCTCTGGTGAATCCTCTCAACCCCCGCACCTCTGGCCTGTACCCCAGTTCTTGTATGCATAAATAAATAAATCTTTAGAAAAAATAAAATATAATAAAAAAATGAATGAAATTGACTAAAACACACTGTGTTTTAAAACGATCCACAATTTCAATATGATTCTAAGGGGGGGAAGTAAGCTCCATTTGAACCACAGAAGCCCCACCTTTAAATTCTTTTTTTTTTTTTTTAGAGAGGCATGTTTTATTTATTTATTTGTTTGTTTGTTTTGTTTATACATGCACTGGGTACAGTCAGAAGCGCGGGAGGGTGAGAGAATTCACCAGAGCCAGAGTGGGGAGCAGAGCAGGCAGAAGGACCGAAGTACACTGCTGAGGGGAGCAGCGGGCGGCAGGAGAGGTCTGCGCACCATGCGGGACCCTCCTCTGGTGGCCGGGGAGCAGCCGGGGATCGAACCGGCGCCGCGGAGGCCGCGGGCAGCTTCGCAACCCAGCGCTCAACCGCTGCGCCACTGGGGAGGCCCTGAAGCCCCACCTTTAAAAGGGAAGAAATAAGCACTTATTCTGCCTTTCATGTCAAAGCATATTTCAGAATAAAATATTCTTTGAGGGAAACATGAGGGGAAAGCATTCTAGCTAATGGTCAAGAGGAAAAGCATTCTAGCTAAACATGTGGAAACAATGATCAAATTAGAAAACTAATATTTCATAATTCCTAATGAAAACAGAGCCAATGAATAGCATGGCAAAAAAAAGCAATGAAATACAGATAAAACCATTAGATAAAAGTTTGTTGTGGAACTTTACAATTGCAGGGACAGACTGTCACCTTAGCCACTGATAAGTGATGGCATAACTAAAATTGGGACAGTGGGCCTCACTGGTGGCACAAAGGGTTAAGTCTCAGCATTATAAAGCTATCAGCAGCCTCTGCAGCATGAGTTTGATCCCAGGCCAGGGAGCTAACCCACATGGTGCAGCAGATTTCTCCTGTCTTGTTTGCTGCTCCCCTCAGCAGTGTATTTCAGTAGATCTGACTGGTTTGCTCCCTACTCTGTCTCTGGTGAATCCTCTCACCCCCTACCCCTGCCCTGCAACTCTGGCCTACACCCCAGCTCTTGTATGCGTAAATAAAATAAATCTTAAAAAAAAAAATCTTATGGATCTGCTGGTGTAATGACAACACATGTCACTTCTTAGGAGGTTTTCTTGACCCCCAAGTTGAGTCTGAGTATAAACAAGTCTCTAGATTCAACCTCAGTTTACAAAAATATCGGAGAGAGAAGAACAAGTTAAATGACACTACGAGAAAGTGATGATAAATCGACACAGTGGGATATTTTACAGCACAGCTGACCTAGTTCTGCAACATGTCAACGTCAAGGGAAAATGAAAAGGGAGTGAAACGCCATAGGGCTGAAATCTGATCTAAAATGCATCAGTAAAGGAAAAAACAAAGGAATGCATAAAGCAAAGATGATAGGTTAGTGATCAATGTTGAATCCTTGTGATTGGATATGGGAGTCAACTATTCTATTCTTTTCTTTTTTTTTTAAAGATTTATTTATTTTTATTTTATACAAGCATTGGGTACAGTCAGAAGTGTGGGAGGGTGAGAGAATTCACCAGAGTCAGAGAGGAAAGTAGACCAGGCAGACTGACGAAGTATACTGCTGAGGGGAGCAGCGGGCGGCAGGAGAGGTCTGCGCGCCATGTGGGACCCTCCTCCGGTGGCCGGGGAGCAGCCAGGGATCAAACCGGCGCTTCAGAGGCTGTGGGCAGCTTCGCAACCCAGCGCTCAACCGCTGCGCCACTGGGGAGGCCCTATTCTTTTCATTTTTGAGAATGAGTAGTATTGTTACTAATTCTGAAGAGTTTTAAAAAGAGATAATGTATGGGAGAGTAGCATAAGGATAAATTTTGGTTTTTCTCTCTCCCAACAGTAGATGTAACATATTTGGATGGAAGAGAAAATCCCCTTGGTGTTTTATTAAAAATACTTTCCTGGGACTTGTTTATTTAAGGAACCACCTTAGAATGCTATGTAGGCCACACCCCACCAGGGATACAGGTTCTGAGCATAAAAGTAAAAACTCAAATTGGCAGCTTGGTCACACAGAAACTCAGCAACATCAAATATTTGAGAAGGCCCTTTTTTTAAAGTAGGATTTTTTCCAATCTATTAAAAAGAAAATCCCAGAGGGGGGTAACTGCAATTTTTGTGGGAAGAGAATTATCTGTGCTAGTTAAACCAAGCAAAACAAAGGCCTTCTTCGCAATAACTCCCAGAGAGCAGCATTTAGGGAGGCAGTAATTAGGTAATTAGAGCTGGGAGTCGCCTCAGTGCCTGGAGGGCCGCTGGGTGTAATGACTACCGTGCAGTGCCACGGTGCAGCAGAACCCCGTAATCTGTTAGAACTGGCCTTACCTGAGCGCAATCACCCAGCCCGATTCCTCCAGTCCCTGTGGCTCTTAGCGCGCACCCTTCCCTCCACACCCTGGGGTGCGGAGCAGCAGCAACTGCCTGGCGGGATGCTCAACATGCACTGCACCTCGCTTGCTACTCTTGACTGTCACCCCAAATATTCGGCATACTAAGTTTTCACGCACCAGGTGACAATACGGAGACAGAGTGGGGGAGCAGAACAGGCGGATCTGCTGAAATACATTGCTGAGGGGAGCAGCGAGCAAGACAGGAGAGGTCTGCTCTTCTGCACCAAGTGGATTAGCTCCCTGGCCAGGGATTGATCTCTTGCTGCAGTTGCTGCTGGTAACTTCACGGTGCTGAGACTTACCCCCTTGCGCCAGCCACTAGGGAGGCCCAACTTAATTGTTCTCTTGATACAATTAAGTTATACTCTTATCAAAAGCTTGAACTTGTGGGAAGGAAAAAGAACTAATGTAAAATGATGTATAAGGTTCTACCAGTCAAAAAAACGTTAAGAACGGTGATAAACTTCCTTCCAGTCTTTCATAGGCAGATGTTTTAAAAATGTTACAGGAACACCGAAAATTATTTCTTCAGAACCTAGTCTTCACCTGACAGCACAGAACACTCTATCACGTTGTCATCAAATAGCCAAACAAAATGTTTATTGCTGCTCAAAGTTCTCCGGAGGAACGCACGGGCCCACATGTTGCTTAAGCATATAACTGCTGGACTCTTGGAGAGTTTTCTCAATTTTTGACCGTCATAAATTGCTGGGTCGGATTTTACCAAGTAGCACCGGGTACACCCAGCCGAGGAAGGTCCCCCCCTCTGGAGCAGAGCCTCTGTGACGTCCCAGACAGGACCCGCCCACGGGTGGGGCCAAACGAAGCGAGGGGCGCCCTACAGGAGGGCGCGCGCGCTCGCCGGCGGGCGGCCATGCGGCCGGGGGCCATGGACCCGGCTCTACCCAGCGCCCCGGCCCAGGCGCAGTCACCGCCGCCCGAGCCGTGGCCGGCGACGAGCTCCGAGGAGGAGCTCTACGACTGCCTGGATTACTACTACCTGCGGGACTTCCCAGCCTGCGGGGCTGGGCGCAGCAAAGGCCGGACGCGCCGCGAGCGGGAGCTGCGCACCAACTGGCCGGTGGCTGGCGGCCACGAGCGCAAGATCGCGCAGACCCTGCTCAATAGCCAGCGCAAGCGTCGCCAGCGCCAGCTGCAGCCCCGGCCGCGCACTCGGCTCGCCTGAGTGCCGGTGCGTGCGGACCGCCACCGCCTTGGCCAGGGGGACCCCGCGCGCGCGCGCCGGGCGCTGCTTCCTGGGGACCCCTGTGACTTGATCGGGCAGAGTTGGCCCCTTTTTTGACGCTGCCCAGCGCTAGCTAGTACCTGGATCCCCTACACCCCCAAAGTCCCTCCTGACTGCAGTTGGAATAGTGTAAAACTACCTTTTGGAATTTTGTAGTTGGGTAGAAGTGCAGAAAACGTTTTTTGAATACAAGGGAGATTTACTTCCAGGGCTTATGCTCGGACTAAGAGGAATAAGTGGCTTTTGTTTTTTTCCGATTTCCTATAGGATACCCGAAGGACCTGATAAAAGTATTTTCTCTGACGCCAGCCGGAACTGTGGTCCAAGGGGGAGAGAATCCATGTTGGTCAACAGAACTTTCCGACGGCGCTTAAGTTGACTGCTTCAGTATCTTTTCCTTACTGATTGTTAATTAAGTAGCATCCAAGGGGATATGCCCTTTTAGGGTTTTTAATTAAAAGAGAGCAGTAAGAATGGCATTTTAAACCTCTGGGTTTGATTTCTCAGCTACTACGGTAATTCGCTTGAGGTACACAAATACCTGAGTTCTTACGTGTAAAGATGATGATGGGGGAGAACAAAGACAAGAATTTGTACAAGATGTAAACCGAAGTGTCACTGGCTACTATGCAGCTGTGGTATTATTTTCTTGAGTAAGGATATTTTAAATGATAGCAGTGCATACTGAACAGTTGCCTGGTTCTCTGCACTACTGATTCCTTCCAGGGAAACGGTGCTGTCTCCATTTTAAAGAGGGGGTTCTGAGGCATAGAGGACAAGAAACATTCTAGAGGTTACAGTTAGTTAGAAGACCAGGCATTTCATTCTCAAAACATCCACACACTTTCCAGCATCAGTTTTTCTCAACTCTACACAAGTACTGTGGCTCAGAATCATGCACAAACTCAAGGACAAGAGTTAAGTTACAGTTTAAAAATTATGCAGACTGTGTCGGGATAGCCTTCCTTTCTCTTCAGTCTGCATTCAGTTAGGTATCAGCACCCATAGGTGGTGAGTCCTTGGCTGGGAGAGAAGGGTGGTATGCGGCGAGGAGCAACCCGAACTTTAATCCTGCCTAGAGTCCTGTATATTGCTGGCATTCAGCAAACTTCTGAGTGGTAACACTTTCAACTTCCATGGAACTACAGTTTTTTTCATTTAAAAAATACAAATAATATTGGACTACACCTTGCCAAAGGTGATGATTATAGATAAGACATTGGACACAGTTAATGGCCTGGTGCATAAGATACTCAATAAATGGTAGCTGTTTTAAAATGTATAGAAAACAAACTTACTAGTCATTAAGTCTTAGATTCTTTCACTCACTGCATTCTTTTAAAATGTCTCCAGCATCCAAGCAATGTGATATGGTGGGAGCCTGGCTTTGGGGTCCAAAACCCGTACTGAATTTGGCAAGTTGCTTAAACTTTAAGCATCTACTTTCTTACCTATAAAATGTGGATAAAACATTACCTATTTCAAGAGTCCTTGTGAGGTGTAAAGGAAATAATGTAAAGCTTAGTGCCTGGTATATAGTGGCAGTCAAATACTATAATTAGTAACAGGGTTACCATTTCTACCCTTTTCACCTTCAGGGTTTTTTTTCCTTAATGCTGTATTTTTTCCTCTTCTGTATCTCAGACATAATGTCCAGATTAATCTTCCAGAAAAACATTGTAATCATATAAAAACCCTCAATGACCCTTCTAATATTGCAGACTATAAAGCCTAGATTCCTTATTTTGAGCTGGAAACTATCTGTTGGATTTTCTTAAATTTTGACCCACAACTTCCCAAATATACACTTTGGCTTTTAATACAGGTCTTCTGTTCTCTAAAGTCACCATGCTCAACTCTGCTTCTTCATTTGAATTTATGCTGTTATGCTCTTTCTCCCTCTTTATAATGTTCAATCTTTCTGAAACTACTTCCACCTATATGTATTAAAGTGCCACTTTCTCCCTAAAGCCTTCATCCACATGAAATGTCCACTCTTTTGAAGTCCTATAGAACTTCATATAAACACACCACCTAATCATTTATTTTATTGTTTTGTACTTTTGTATTTTGTACTTTTGCACTTCACTTAATGTGAAGATACTTTTCATCCCAAATATTCTTTCATAACATTTTTTTAAATGGCAGAATAGAATTCATATGTATGAATCAAAAATTATTTAATTCTATATTGTAGGACACTCAGGTTGTTAAGTTCCCCCTATTTTATACCTTTTGTTAAATGAACATTTGTATTTTGTACTTTTTTTTTAATATTTTTATTTATTTTTTAATAGAGGCATGTTTTATTTGTTTGTTTGTTTTGTTTATACATGCACTGGGTACAGTCAGAAGCGCGGGAGGGTGAGAGAACTCATCAGAGCCAGAGCAGGGAGCAGAGCAGGCAGAAGGACCGAAGTACACTGCTGAGGGGAGCAGGGGGCGGCAGGAGAGGTCTGCGCACCATGTGGGACCCTCCTCCGGTGGCCGGGGATCGAACCGGTGCTGCAGAGGCTGCAGGCAGCCTCGCAACCCAGCGCTCAACCACTGCGCCACCGGGGAGGCCTGTATTTTGTACTTTTAAATGAAGTTTAAAAATTCAATTATTTTGTCTACATTTGTAAGGCACTGTATTCACAATGTCTGTTATCCAAAGAAAAACCTACCCTTTGAATTTAAGGATCTTAGTACCTGAAACATCTTCATTCCTATACTATTCCTGTTATAAAGTACAGCATACCAACAGACTTGCCATGTTAAATACGCTAAGGTATTCTAACTAGATTCTGCTCATTTTAGATACTACAACTTTTAATATTTAAATATGGTCACTGGAGAAATTATATGTATTAGTTACCTGCTCTGTATAATAAATTACTCCAAAACCTAGTAGCTTAAAACAACAAATATGTATTATCTCTGGGTCAAGAATTTGGGAGTGGCCTAACTGGGTGGTTTGAACTCAGCAACTGAGATTCTAGTCAAGCAGTTGGTGGCTGGGATCAGTCACCTAAAAGCTACTCCCAAGATAGGCCACTCATGTGACTACTGGCAGAAGGCCTCCATTCCTTGCCATGTGAGACTGACTCTCCATTAGGCTGACCGAGTGTCCGCAAGATGTAACCACTGGTTTTCCCCAAAGCAAGTGATTTCACTGAGCAAGGAGCAGACTTTTATGATCTAGACTGAAGCTGTACACCATCACTTTTGCCATTCCAAATAAGTAACTAAATCCAGACCACACTCAAGGGAGAGTAATTAAGCTCCACCTTTTGAAGGGAATGTCAAAGCATTTGTGAACATATTATAAGTCACCATGACAGTTTAATAAGTATGTTCCTTGTAGGAAAATTGGAAAACACAAGTGAAAAAAACACTACTCTGCATAATATCACTACTTGGTTGCCTAGAATATCAGTCTTTAAAATGTTTTCTTAAAATTTAATTTTAAATTTAAAAAATTACATTTTCACTTAATGTGAAGATACTTTTCATCCCAAGTATTCTTTCATAACACTTTTTAAATGGCAGAATAGAATTCATATGTATGAATCATAAATTATTTAATTCTATATTGTAGGACACTCAGGTTGTTAAGTTCCCCCTATTTTATACCTTTTTTTTTAAGATTGATTGATTGATTTATATATACATACATACATACATACAAGCGCTGGGTACAGTCAGAAGCGCAAGAAGGTGAGAGAGAATTTACCAGAGCCAGAGTGGGGTGCAGAACAGAATGACGAAATACACTGCTGAGGGGAGCAGCGGGCGCGGCAGGAGAGGTCTGTAGTGCCATGTGGGACCCTCGCCGGCGGCCGGGCGGCCAGGGATAGAACCGGTGCTGCAGAGGCTGCGGGCAGCTTCACAGCCCAGCACTCAACCACTGCGCCACCGGGGCCTTTTGTTAAATGAGCATCCTTGGAGCTAATTTCTTTCCACATTCATTAGTGCTCCTTAAATTTCTAGATATGGAATTCCTGGAACAGGGTTTGCACAATTTTGAAATCTATGACCTAATTTTTAGTGTATAAGAATTTTAACTGCAAGAGTCCTTTCATCCAAATGTTTAAATCAAATATCCATAAAAATGCCTACAAGAGTTCTTTGTTCAAATTTTGATCGCCATAAGTGAATTTGTTAAGAATTATCGCTATGGAATGAGATGATGTATATACTTTCCCCCCAAAAATTGAACTTCAGCACATCTATACCAGCAAACTACAAATTACAAAACAGAAGAATTTTGGTATTTTCAATTCCCACTTTTTAAAACTAGTTTTAGCTTACTTTTTACGTGCTCATTTGTTTTCTGAATAAAAGTAATTCATTAACTGTTAAAAAATCCAAAAGAAAGAAAACACCATCAATAAAAGGCCACAGCCACCCACTTCTACTGCTTGAAGGCAAACAGTATTATCAGCTTTAGATTCTTTATGCATATATAATATGGTCTTTTCTCTCAATTTTTCAGAAATAGTAGCACACTGTATTTAATCCTGCCCCTTTTTTCTCTTGACAGTTAATCTTAGAAGTCATCCCTACTAAGATACATAGACATATGTATCTGAGATATACATATGTCTGACACATTTCTTTATTCCTTTTTATAACTGCATATTGTGTGAATGTGCCATTTTTTAAAAACCAGGAATTTATGTTCCTTCTAGTTCTTTAACTATACCAAAATAATCTTGTACAAATACTTTATATTCTCCAACTTAGGGACGAATGATTTACCACATATGATTAAGAGTATCTGTTCTGCAGGCCTGTCTATCTTGACTGTCCAAAGGTCTGCTCACTCTAAGCTCTTCTTGAGCCAGGATGTCCTTTATAAAGCTCTATTCCCATTTCTGCTTATGCATTATCCAAAAGCAAATGTAAAGTTTATCATATGTAAATCGTTCATTTCTTTATGTTCTGTGAAAAATACAAACTTTTTCACAAAATGTTTTTGCATTATTTATCCCTCCATTTCACAAACATTCTGTTGTTGCCATAAATGCTGCATTAAACTCTGTAACTGTTACAGGGCAACTGCAATGTGAAGGGGTAGGCCTGAGTGTGGGTCCTCACCAACACGCTTAAAAAGGACTTATCAGAAGACCCAACTGCAGGCACACACAAAAAAGTTTAAATAAAGGGTTTATTTACAAAAAGGGGAAATGAAGAGAGGACTAACCCAGGGAGAAAGAGAGAGAGAAATTGGTGAATGCGTCCTACCAATTCCGCTGAGCTGGGATCCCAAAGGCACGATGAAGGTCTGCGAAAAACCAACCACAGCCCAGGACCACGTGTCTCTGGCTATATGCTAAGCCTGGCTGCTTAACTCCACCCTTACTTCCCAGCAATCCTCCCTTCAGTGGTGATGACACTATGGGATTTGCAGTCCTTGGTGCCTAGGATCTCTTTAGCCTGGGGTGGGGGCGGAGTGCATAAAACCTGAGTTTGAAGAATTCATTCAGAACGTCCTCTCCCGGAAACATTACCTCCAGTGAAAGGGAGAAATTTCAGTTCGACAGTCAAGTAGAAATGGAGGTTCCACCTCAGCTTTTTCTCCCCACAACCCCCTAGGACTTTCCCGTGAAGCCCCTCCCACCCCCAAATAAAACTAGCCAACTGCCTGCAGTGCAGATTCTAAAATGTTTGTGTGTTAAAAAGCATTCCACACTAAGTATCAGTAAAGCACAAACCCTTGTCGCCCCTGCAATTACTGTTCCCTCTGCCCGAAATGCTCTACTACTTAGTAAACACATGGCTTACTTCTCCACTTCCTCGAGGGCTCTGTTCAACGGTTGCCTCTTCAAAGGCTCCTGCACTCTACAAGCTCTAACTCCTTATTCCCCCACTCCGCTTTTGTTTCATGTCATCACCTAAATGTTAGTGTGTCTCCTCCATGAATTTAAAGTCCATGAAGGTAGTCTTGCTGTATGTCGTGCTTTATCTCCAGAACATACCTGGCCTAGCACTTGTAGATCAGAACATTTTTTCACTTAATGAATATATCCTAACCATAAAATTATCAATGAATGAATGAATACTATCCCAATTAATATATATGTAGGTTTCGAAAATATATAAATAAATGTAAGGTGGCATGACTGTCTGAATAACTTGTTGGCTGAATCCACAAACATGAGAAAACAAATAGAACCAACTCAACTCTATCGGTCCCTGCCTAAAGTTATCAGTTTCCTTCGTTCCGTTCATATTACGTGTCCTCAACTGCCTCAAAAAAATATTCCCCAGATAAGCTTAATACTGAGAAAGGTTTAGCAAATTGTCCACGGTTCTGTGGCACACACGCCAGGGGTGTGACTCACAAGGTGGAATTTGCCCTCCCATGTTAAGAGCACACATGTTTGGATGAAGCGGCGCTAGGCCCTGTGCCCTAGGAAGCAAAATGCTAGCGGCAGTCACTCAGGCTAGCATCCGAGGACAAGGCTTACCCCGGACCACAGGAACTTCCGGCTTTCCAAAGAGCCCCGGCGCCGAGCTCATGACGTCAATTGTGTAAGACGAGGAGCGTCCGTGACGTCCCGTTCTCCTGGTGACCTTCAGGGCGAGAGGAGACGTCGGCGACGGAAGGCGTCTGCCCGAGCGCTGATTGGTCGCGTGCTGAGACCAGCCCCGCCTCGCCACTTCCGCTGTCCTTCTCCGTAGAGGCAGTTTGGGTCTCTGAGCGCCGCTGTTCTCGACGCCGAGCCGCCGTGCCGTTGCGATGCCGCGTGGAAGCCGGAGCCGCACTTCCCGCATGGCCCCTCCGGCCAGGTGAGGCCTCCGCGGGGTTTAGGGCCGTACCAGCGCCGTGACGCAGACGGAGGCCGCGCTGGGCCCGGCCGCGGCGTCGGAGGCCAATGTGGCGTGAGCCCGCCTCCGCCCGCAGCGAGCGGGCTGTAAATGGGCTTTGACTACATTTTCCGTTCGTGGCAAACTTCCTGTACCCCAGATTATTACCTTAAATGGTTTAGGCTCGTTTTATGTTAAAACAGGCCAGTTCTAGAGAGCATTGGAAGTTTCTAAGTGTAAACCGTTAGAAACGTAAAAAACAAAAAAAAAATGTAGAAAATTAATATGATTGGGGGAAATGATCCCATTCCAATTCGGTGAGTAATCTTTAAACAGGTAATGTGAGCAGTGAGCGTACCACGGACTCGACCAGGTAGAGAATAACAGTCGCTAAGGCCGCACGTGAACATGATGTTTTCTAGTTCATAAAATGCTTTTAAAATCTGTTGGCGACTAATGATAATGATAACCTGAGAGAGTGTTGTTACTCCTGTTTTGCAGAAATAGAGACGCGGGACAGTCAGGTGACTTGCCCAAGGTTATGCCGCTAGTAAAGTAGGAAGTCAGTTATCAGACCGATGACAAATTCAAGACATACTACACATTACCACATCACTTCACTGGACTGCAGTGTTAACAGTGTGCTAAGAGTGGGAGGAAGCAGTTCATTTAATGAAAAGAATCTTCAGAGGACAGAAAGCCACATTTTATGAAGTTATGCCAAAAGCCACCTGATAGGAAGTGAAGTCATTACACTTTTGACCTAGTTTTAGTTAGGGGAGGAGATATTTTATATTTGTGAGCTAAAAATGCGGCAGAAGGAGCATAGTTAATGGAAGATTTTGAAAGCAGCTTTGGATAATTAGTGAAATTGTTGAGAGTGTGTGGCTCTCCTGTAGGAAGTAGCTGAAATTGATTATGGTATAGCAGTTCAGGCAGTCACTTCCACCTACTGGGCTCTGGTTTTCTAATCTGTAAGATAAAGAAATTGGACTATTTGGTTGGAAAATAGTTGGAAAAGTCATGACGTATTTTTTGTTTTTCAAGCAAAAGTGTCATGATGACTCTGACAACTCAGTGGATCCTTCTCTTAACAATATGTGACATCTTTTACTTACTTGACTGTCAATAGACTGTCAACTCCATGAAGGCAGAGGTTTATATCTCTTGTTCACAGTTATATTCCAGTACCTGCAGTGATGTTTGCCTGTTATATTTGGATGGATGGAGTCTTTACAGATCTCTTATACTCTTAATATTTTATATTTGTGAGCTATTGAGATGAATGTATTCCTAAGATACTTAGGCTATGTGAATACATGGAAATGGTTGCCCAAAAAGCAGAAAAAAATAGTTTATATTTGTGATTACAACATTAACGAAAGGTTAAAGAGATAAAAAATTATATTTTCCTGTATGTAGTTTTCTTGTATACATTGGTAATTGTGTTTAATAATTTAAAGTGAAGATCCTCAGGTTTATTTTTAATACATAGGGGTTGGTTTGTTTATTTTTAAGTGACAATTTCCAAATCTGGTTAGAAATGGGAATTTCATACTTTTTTCCCCTTTTCAACAGCCGGGCACCTCAGATGAGAGCTGCACCCAGGCCAGCACCTGCAGCTCAGCCACCAGCAGCAGCTCCCCCATCTGCTGTTGGCACACCTGCTGCTGCTCCCCGTCAGCCAGGCCTCATGGCCCAGATGGCATCCACTGCAGCAGGTGTGGCTGTGGGCTCTGCTGTTGGACACACAATAGGTCATGCCATCACTGGGGGTTTCAGTGGAGGAAGTAATGCTGAGCCCGCAAGGCCTGACATCACTTACCAGGTAAGGTTATGGGCAGCATTTTCTTTTTATGGGAAATATTTTTTATAATATTATTAGAAAACTTAGTTATTTATAAGTTCTTAATGCATAGGAACTGTCTGTAATTTTAGAATCTACAATGCTGTTAACATTGGGTTATCAAATGTGTTATCAGAAGCCACATTTGGCTGTTGAGTTAGTGCCTTAGCCCAGCAAACTGTTCTAGTCAGGTACAAAGTATATTTCTTCCCAAGGAATAGAACTGTTTTGTTTTTAACTTTATTAAATTTAATTTTTATTTAATTTTGTGTAGAAGAGCTGGGGTGTGGGCCAGAGGTGCAGCAGGTGAGAGGATTCACCAGAGACACAGTGGGGAGCACAGCAGGCGGATCTACTGAAATGCACTGCTGAGGGGAGCAGCATGTGACACGGAAGAGGTCTGCTGCACATATGTGCATTAGTGTACTTTCAAGGGATTGAACTCAGGCCATAGTGGTGATAGCACTGAGACTTAATGCCTAGGCCATCAGGGAGGCCCCCAAGGAGTAGAATTTTAGCAGGTCAACCTGGTTGACTATAAAATAGCTAATCTACTCTTATTTTCAATATTTTGTCTTGGTGACTTTTAACTAATTCAACCTCAATCTTAGTTAAATATTGGAAATTGTTTTGCCAGATCTGTGCTCTCTCATCTCTTACCTAATATTTGCCTCTGCCTTTCTGAAATATGTGGTTTTTTCTCTAATGAGCATGGGTGCATACTCTTACATTTCTGGTGTACAAGAAACTCTTATCCTTTATTTCTCTATTATTGACCCATTTTTTTTCTTCCATGAAACTTTACTAACCCAGTCGTCTTTGGATGTCCAGATACCATCTAGCTTTATTTGGATCTTTGTTCTTAAAGCTTTCTGATTTCTGGGCCTCCCCGGTGGCACAAGGGGTTAAGTATCAGCATTATGAAGCTATCTGTAGCCACTGCAGCACGAATTCTATCCCCATCCAGGGAAGTTGCCCAAATGGTGCGGCAGACCTCTCCTGTCTTGCCCGCTGCTCCCCTCAGCAGTATATTTCAGTCAATCCACCTGTTCTGTTTCCCATTCTGTGTCTGGTGAATCCGCTCACCCCACCCCACACTTCTGGCCTGTACCCCAGTTCTTGTATGCATAAAAAAACAAATCTTTAAAAAAAAAACAACTTTCTGATTCCAACTGGAATTTGTTGGTGCTCATTTACATTCTACCTTTAAAGTTTTTCACATGCTATGTTATTAGATGGAGATTTTAATTTGCATCTGGTGCTAGTTGCGTTTCCCCGGTTAACCTCAAGAACAGTGGATGCTATTCTTTGTTCAGTGTAAAATTAATTTCCTTTGCTAATGGGCCTAAATGTTACACCTTTGCAGGAACCTCAGGGAACCCAGCCAGCATACCAGCAGCAGCAGCAGCAGTTTGGCCCATGCCACTATGAGATGAAGCAGTTTTTGGAGTGTGCCCAGAACCAGGGTGACCTCAAGCTTTGTGAGGGTTTCAGTGAGGTGCTTAAACAGTGCAGATTTGCAAATGGTAGGTGCCATATCTATCCATGATTGAACTTGGATCTGTTCAATTCACTCAGTGGTATTCCTGGATCCTTAGCACTTACGGCGGTCTGTGTTAAATAAACTGACAAGTTGGGTTTTCTTTAAATTACTCTAAAATAATCCGACTTTTCTAAGAAGGATGTGGTCCAGATGTTTCTAGTCATTATCTTAAGCTTAAACCAGTTATGTTTGAATTTATTTCTTAAGCAGTAAAGAATTAGTATCTCTCAGTAAAACAGATTTTAGCTCTCGGGAATGTTAGCAGTTAAGTTTTCACATAATTTTCTCCTGTCAGCCTAAGATTTCATCTATTAAAAAGCTTATTTTCATTTTTCTTTCAGTAGGAAGAAAATAGGGAAGAAGTTAATTCTCAGGTGGTTGAATTGTAGAAGTAAAATGCTGCATATGCAAGTTTATCAGAAGTCTGGTGAAGCTTAATTATATCTAGTACCAAAGGGGCTATATTTTTGCTTCAGGATGAAACAATTGCCTACCTCATTCCTTGTGGCAAATGTAGAATGGAAATTTTGTTGGGTGCCTTCAATAATTTATGACACAAAATAACAACTTTGGGATTTCATTTTATAATTTAGAGAGTTTCTATTTTCTTAGAAATACACAGCTAATGCTCTCCTAACTTACCTCTTCTGTTTGCAGGATTAGCCTAATCAAGAAGTTCAAATTAAAGGCATGGAAAATCACCTCTCCTGACCAAGTTAATTTAATACAAAAATATAAAAGATAGTGAAATGCAAAGTATAAAGCTATCAGCTAAATTTATCACTAATGGCTTCATTACAATGGAAGAAGGTATTGTTAGAAGTTCACTGAAATGAAACTGAGTTTGGGGCTGGGGAAAATGTTTGACTTTCTTAAATCTGCTTTTGTGGCGTTACTGTTTGTGAATTAAAATAAAGTGATTTTCTTCCAAAATGTGTTGTTTTTTAAATGCAGGTTCATAGATTAGATCTGGTATATGCATGCTAAACATAAGCATTTTGCAAAAGAACACAATTAGCATCCACTTTGAGGAGCTTTCATAGAGAACTAGGTAAGAATTACCTCACCAGCAAACATGCAGCTTATTAAAACGGTTCCAGGTACTACAGTCCTTTGGAACCAATGTTCAATAAGCTGAGCAGTGATAGGAAACTTTGTTTAAAGTACTAATTGTTCTGGGCCTCCACAGGGATTAAAGTCTCAGCACTGTCAAGCTATCATCAGCCACTGCGGCATGAGTTTGATCCCTGGCCAGGGAGCTGACCCACATGGCGCAGCAAGACCTCTCTTGTCTTGCCTGCTGCTCCTCTCAGCAGTGTATTTCAGTAGATCCACCTGTCCACTCTATATAGTGAATCCTTTCACCCCCTGCCCCTGTACCTCTGACCTACACCCCAATTCACATATGCATAAATCTTTTTTAAAAAAAGTACTAATTCTAATTAGGTGAATAACAAAAGAAGTGTAGGAATAGACCCGTTACATGTACAGATGCCTTTGACCAGTCACCGCTCTGTGTCCTCGTTCCCCTAGAATACCCAATTAGGTGAAAACTATACTCTTAATACAGGTAATCCCTCTGGCAAAGATTTTCCTTCTACTTAAGGCAAACTAGCTGCAGTTACCTATTCTTACATTGTCCTCAGGAGATGGAGTCAATTTGAGGTGCATCATTTTTTTTCCTGTAAGTGAACACAGCTCCCCTCACAACTCAAAATTTCACTTCTAAGAGTTGACTTCCAAGCCTACATTATGCTCTGCAGTTTCCTACTTTCAGATGTACCTTTCATAAGTTGTTACCTGATTTTTTCCCTGCTTAAATTTTGGGACCTGTTACTGAACAATGAAATGCTACTGAATAAATACGCTGTCTGTCCTCTGTCATTTCTGTCCAGTCCCCTAGAATGTCCCATCCTGGATTCATCAATGGACAGATTGCCCATTTTCCTGAAGTCTTAGGACCTCTGAGTTCAGGGTTAATACTTAAGTCCAAGGCATGTTGCTTACGGTATGTTCCCAAACATTGCTGAATCGAAAACCCATTACTGACTAAAATGCAAGAGTCTGTCTGACTGGCCTTTGCCTTGTAGGAGGCATGGCTACACAGAGAAGGTTATGGAAACTAACCTACCAGGTCAAGGTCCCCGAGGCCAAGGATTTAGTCGTGGATTGATGTAAACCAGCATGACTCAAATCTATAGCTCGAGTCTGGGGAAAAAAATAAGTAAAAGGAGGAGGTTGAGGTATTTTTATCTTTGGTGCCTGATGTTGCATTGTAATAAATGGAAAACCTTTGTGCACAGAGCTCATACCCTGAAGTTGTTTTCAATCCTTTCTGTATAACAGTTCAGCAAAGTACTCCAGAGTGAAAGAAATAGGTGGTCACCGTGACAATGGAAAGAGTACTTTGCCCACATCTGGGCTTGAGCCAGGTCTTACGTACTTGGTGACCTTGAGCAACAGTCACATTTGCTCTAAAACTGACTTCATTCTGGAGTTCAAGAGAGAGTGTAGGGAATGCTTCGTAAAATGCTGAGTGTTTGTGGGCTCAGCCTCTGTGTGAGGTACTGTATTACCCCCCCTTCGTTTGGGTTATATTAGCCTTCCATTTGATATGAGGAAGAGCAATAAAGAAGTCCTGTGTGCCAGCATGCTGAGTATAATATCTCCAATTTTGTAGACCTCTTAAGGCAGAAGCATAAAAATGAGGACGCTCACTCAAAAAACTCAGTCATACACAAGGCCATACGCTTTTTCTGGCACCGAGAACTCCTAATGGAAAATGCAGGTTGAAAGCAAAATGACTTAAGAGTGAAACCACAGGGGCAGATGAGAGGTGAATTTCTGAAAATGTCCCCTAACATTTAAGGTCTGCCTTTTGTATGGCAGCCACACCAACTGTCACTGAGTGGGTCCTGATATTGGATGCCTGTGGCAGCCAGGGCTGAAGTGCAGATGCGCCTGTGTGTTGAGATAGTCTCCAGGGCCCCTGCTTTTCAGCATGCACTGAAATGGCTCCTGAGAAGCCAGTGCATTTCCTGCAAGCCTGGCTTTCTCTCCACTGGGCCTGGAGGATGAGTGAGCTCCAGAGAGAAGACTGGTGTCAGGTTACCTGAGCTTCCCTCACCAGTCACCAGAGGTCGCCCTTGGTGAAACTCAGCCAGGCACTGTCCCTGCTGAACCTTGGCCTGCATCCCGGGTTTGCAGTTGTGATTTATTTTTGGCACGTCAGATTTTCGTCATCAAGTAGCAAAGCCCGAAGGAAAAGCAGCAAGAGCTTCTACTTTGGCCACAAGTATCTGCTTGGGACACATTTCAGCCCTCTCTCCCCTCTCCCCAAGGAGCTCTGGGACCTTTGGGAGTCCTGTCACATTCGGTCAAGGGCCTGCGAGGACCACACGGTGAGTTGCGGGCTAGTGATGGACCAAAGCCAGATGGCATACGGGGCGAGGAAGAGGCTGAGGTGGGGGTGTGGGGGGAGTTGAGATGGCAGAAACCCCAAAACCATGAGACACATTTCCTTCCAAAAGAGTGGCAGCATTAACTCCTGCAGCCCAATTTGGAGAGTTTGTCTACAGAAACCAGCTCCCTGTGACAACATTTTCAAAATCTGAGTTTGAGGGAGGATCCTTCCAAAAAGGATCAAGTTACCTAATTCCATGTGGGGGCCCTCCCTGAAGATCTTGGGAAAGGTGTGGGAAATGGAAGAGACCTGATGCTACCCAGCTTTGGGAGGGGCAGGGACATAGGGAAATTAAATTTTTTGTGTGGGAAACACACTCCTTTGCTTGGATGGTAGTGGACGGACAGAGGCGGCCTGTGAGCAGCCCGGGCACCTGCTACTGGCAGAGGAGACTGTTATTCTAATCCTTCCTCTGGTAACCAGGCACCCGCCAGTGGGGATACCAGGCTTCCTGGAACAGCCAGCTGGGTCCTGAGGCAGTCAGGGTTCCTGCCCCACTAGTTGACATTGCTTCTTCTGATAGGCCCGGCCTCCTTGGGCCCAGGAAGGGCGGTAGAAGTGGGGTTAGAGACAGGGAGCTTTTACCCATTTGCTATCTGCCTGTCTTTCTACTGGTAGATGATTTTTTCATCCTCAAATCCTTATCAGCATCTTGGCTGCCTCTATGATCCTGAAACAAAACCAGCCGGCTCAGCTCCTCTGTGTCCAGGCCTGAGTGTCCTTGCTCTGTGCTGCCCCACACCGCAGCAGGACCACTCAGGGTTCACCAGCCACATTAGGTAGGACATGGACAACGCTGCCAGCAGGATGCTGGACCAGAGGAATAGAGTCCAACCATCAACTCATATCTAGGGAGTAGCACTGCTACACGATTGAATGGGAAACACAGGGGGCCGATGTCTGGGTGTCCTAGAGAAGATCACAGTCTAAGGGGGGAGATGACAGCACAGGTTGTCATGTGATGCCAGAGACTAGGACCAGGATCCACCCATCAGGTTCTGCATCCCTCAGAGCACCTGGCCCAGCACTACGCAATGAGTATGAAAAACATTATGATGGTGAAAGTCCTGGTCAAGGACAGGGGTGAGAAAGAGCAGTGGGAAGCAGGAATAAGTCCTGGAGAGAGGAGAGTTTTCAGAGTAAGATAGTTACAACTCAGGCAGATAATGAAAGGCTATGGGAGGAGCAGATTAAGAAGATGAAATCGTGAGGTTTTTTCATCTCTTCCGTCAGTGCAGAGAGCAGGCACAGGAAAAGCAGGACCAGCCTTCTCTACTCAGAGAGGAAAAGAAATGGCACTTTAATTTGCTCTCTACACAATTTCTCTGTGGTTCTAATACCAAGAGTGTGTTGGCCTAGTCAGCGCTAACCTTGGGACCTGCTGGCCTGATCTTCTGCCTCTGGCTGGGCCCAGGCCTAGTGATCACCTGCCACTCCTCCCAGGGAACAGCTGACAGAACAAGCAGAGAACCACACAGTAACCTAGGGGGAGCAGCACAAGGGTTTACAGTCAGTGAGAAGCAGCAAGCAGGCCTCTTTCAAAAGCTTTTTCTCAATCACAAACACTTATTTTGAACATTCATTGTAGGCCAGCCCTGGGCCAAAAGGATGAATGAGAAAGAGTTCCAGCCCTCAAAGAGTTCATCCCCTAGGTCAGGGAGGCTGACAGCTTCTTTCTGTTCCCTACTCAGTCTCTCAGAATCTCCACAAGGTGCTGAACATGACAAGGGACGAAGCTCTGCCAGACTCACATTCTGCACAGGGATTCTATGAGAACTACGAGCCCAAGGAGATCCTGGGCAGGTAAGGCCCAGAACTTCCCCATGGGGTGCTGTCGTGGCAATGATCTCTGCTTGAGCCCAAACACTGAGCCCCACTTCTACCCCCAAAGCGCTGTCCACTTGCAGAATCCTTCAGTTTGGTGTCCTGCCTTCCTGAACAACGACAGAAAAGGGGAGTATGGACACCGAGATAAGATACCTTTCCAGGCAAAGAGCTCCCTGAAACTGTTGACAAGCATCTAAAGTCCCCTGGAGGCAAGGGCAGGGAGCAGGGGTCAGAAGAAAGGTTATGTTTCTAAGACTATATGGCTTTTAAGAATATATGGCTTCTTTCTATGTATAGAGAAAGCATCAAACTAGGAGTTAAGAGGCCTGAAACCAGGCTGGTTACTCAGCAGCCTCAAGCACCTCACCCCCTCCATGCCTTTTTTTCATCATGCTACCACCCACAAAAGCTCACAGAGAGCTAGGGGACAAGGCAGGACATCTCTGTTGTGGCCTGGATCTGGGAACCCCATTGCCAGAGTAAGGGGCCCCCGGGACCATCTGTCCTCTCCATCCCCAGGGGAGTTAGCAGCGTCGTTAGGCGTTGCATCCACAAGCCCACGTGCCAGGAGTATGCTGTGAAGATTATCGACATCACCGGTGGGGGCAACTTCAGCCCCCAGGAGGTGCGGGAGCTTCGAGAGGCCACGCTGAAGGAGGTGGATATCCTGCACAAGGTCTCAGGACACCCAAACATCAGTGAGTGATCCCTGAGCCACAGTAGGGTGATCCACCATAATGATTCTGCTCTGCTAACCCAAGTAAGGGAATGTGGCCCCATGTGCACCAGTCAGAACCATCCAGAGTGTCTCTCCCCACTACCCCTGCCCCCACACCCTGATGTTTGGGGTCCCCAGCTCCCCCCTCACTGCTCCTGTGACCTAGTTCTGTCTCAGCCTTTTCTTGCAGCTATACAGAAGGGGTCACAAGAAGGCTGGGTGTATGGAGGAGTGTGATGGCCCTGGGCCTGCCCCCTCCCAGAGAGACCTCTTTTGAGCACCATCCTGACACCCCCTGCAGCTTCTGAAGCCCACCCACCAGCAGCTTTAGTACCCTTGCCCTGGAACCCCCACTGCCCCGGCTGAGGCTCCTCTGCTGCCTGAGACGAGCCAGCCATTTCCATTTCAGTACAGCTGAAGGACACTTACGAGACCAACACTTTCTTCTTCTTGGTGTTTGATCTGTAAGTACCCAGCCCTGGAGCCCACTGTACCCTGGCACCATTTGGAGAACCTCCTATTATGATCCCCACCCAGTAATTCCTAGATACCAGCAGCCAGTCAACTCTTTACAATGTGGATGCCAAATAGGATCACAAATGCCGAGGCAGATCAGCCCCCGGCTGCTAGGTTTTAAATCCTGGGTCAATTGCCTCTGGGCTGGAGGATTTCTTTCACTATCACTTTTCTCGTTGGTATCACAGAAGCAGTAACAGCACAGGGACTGGCACAATGTAAATGCTATGAATTACTAACTACAATGATGATGACAACGGGTCACTCAATACTTATTCTAGACACTAGCAACAAATATGAAAGATAAAGTCCCTGACTTCAAGTAATAGTTTTCATAGGAATGAACAGAAAGCAACCAAATAAGCCACAATATATACAGAAAACAGAACAGAGGTTAGAGAGAAGGAGGATTTCTTTAGATGGGATGGTCGGGAAAGTGCTCATGGAAGGAAACTGAGCAGAGGCCTGGATGAAGTGTAGGCGGGATCAGAGCCAAGCTTGGAGAAGGAGCCTTCCAACAAAAGGCCCTGACCAAGAACTAGATCAAGGTCTGAAGGGATGGGCTTAGCTCATTTAAGAATCAGCCAGAAAGCCAGTGTGGGAGACCAGTGGTGATGACAGGATACAAGGATGGAGAGCACCAAAGGCCAGATCCTGCAGGCATCCTAGCCATGGTAAGGACTTTGGAGGGCGAGAGTAATGTGATCTGTATTACTCTGGAAAGGGTTATGCTGACAGCAAGGAGGCAGGACAGGTAAGGAGGAGGTTAGGAGGATGGAAGGAAGGGGCTCAGGCCAGGGCGGTGGACATTAGAGGTTGATTTTGAGGTCTGGTTCAGAGATGGAAATCATCAATGCCAGCATTCCCCTGCTTCTGCAGCAACAGAGCTATTGAGGTGAATTTTTGTCACAGGGTCCACTGCCACCCAGGACCAGAGCTTGTAGCTCTGAGAGCCTCTGTTTTCTCAAGAAGGAAGGCTATTGACCACATTGCCTATCTCACTGGCTCTAAGCATCAAAATCAAACCACACAAAGTGTTCTCTGAACCATACATTCTGGCTTCTTATCGTTATTTTGATCAGAAAAGGGTGCCAGGGAAGAGAACTCTGCAATGCCTTGTGTCCCCCATGTCCTCACTCTTTAGGGAGTCTCTGCTGGGGGGGGGGGGGATTAGGGGAAGCCTTGATTTCTCATATATAACAGTTAATTTAAGGACTGGGTTTACCTGAGTAAACTATTGCATTTTTTGCATTGTTGGAACATTTCATACTGTAGTCATACTGAGTGGACAGTGTTGTTCTGCCTGGAGACCCAATCTCATTTTGCGAACATGTACAATTAAACTGCCAGCTCCAGGAAGACAGGAGCCTGCTGGAGTAGCCTGCACAGGCCCAGCCATTACTAGTAAATCCCTTTACTGCTGCTGCTAATATTGAGTTTTCTGGAGTCTTTAAAATGGAATTAAGATAAGATCACAGTACAGATAATGCATAAAACAAGTAAATTCAGATTGTCTCCTCCAAAAGAATCCCCTCCAAGGGTTTTCTTCCCCCTATGACACTGGCAAATCCTTAGTCCCCAGGAGTTCCTCTGCTTTTCCTGGAGGGAGGTGGGAGGGGGCAGTATGTACCTTTCCTATTTATACAAGGGAGACTTTCCCAGACACCTCCAGACTTGACCCGCTGCAGCTGTCCCAGCTCTGCTTGGTGGCCCTGTCCGGTAGAGCCCTCAGGGACAGCTCAAATGTCTCTAACCTCTGAAGTTGTTTGGGGAAGCTATTTTAATGTTGCCCTGATTTGCCCTCTAGGATATAACTAGACTATTCTACCAGAGACCTCTTTCTAGATCATCCCAAGAGCTGAGAAGATTGAACCATAATTCTTAATCCTAAAATAGGCAAAACTTGCTCCTCCAACACTTGCACTTTGTTCCCCAGGAAAATTCAGGATACAACTACCCTTCTGATCTGGGTCGGGGGCCAATTGCTCAGGGTCCCTCTACCTCCCAGACCTGAATTTGGCCCTAATCGATTCCAGCTCACGCTGTCACTTCCACTTTGCTTCTGGGGGTATAAGGGTGGGAAAAAAATCTCTGGGAGCAGGATAAGGTCTTGGAACCAATCCAGCTACAAGTCCTCTGTCCTCACAGGATGAGGAGAGGGGAGCTCTTTGACTACCTCACGGAGAAGGTCACCCTGAGTGAGAAGGAAACCAGGTCAGAGTCATTCACCTCTCTCCCCACTCCCTGCCTGGTGTAGCAGGGACTGGGGGCTGGGAGGAAGCATGGCATAGTGTCTACCTGTCTGGGCTGGGAGTATGCACCCCCCTGGTTTTGTGCCTCCCCCCTCCTTGGCTCAGCCAAGACGGTTCCTGTCTGTCCCAAGTCCTCCCTCACTGGTTGGTGGGCTTCGGTTTCCTGCCTGTTACCTTGTAGAAAAGGAGAAGAGTAATTATGTACCTGTCCCACCCCAGGAAGATCATGAGAGCCCTGCTGGAGGTGATCTGCACCTTGCACAAACTCAACATTGTACATCGGGATCTTAAGCCTGAGAACATACTCTTGGATGATAACATGAACATCAAGCTCACGGACTTTGGCTTTTCCTGCCAGCTGCAACCAGGAGAGAAGCTGCGAGGTCTGGTAACATGGATTCCGCCCACATTAGGGGCTTTCTCATCAACTCTCCCAGGAGCAGAAATTGCCTGGGTTTGTCCCCTAATTTTTTTCCCCAGAGTAAAAATCCCACCGTTTAAGCACTAGGTGTTCTTTCAGGCAAACCCTTTTTGCAGGATGAGCTAAGGCAGGTTCCCACTGCCTGAGCTTCGGGCCAGGATGCTTAGAAATGACCAGGGAACCAACAGGCCCAAAAGAAGATGGCCATATGAGCCGGCACTCTGACCCTGGCCTTAGCCCCGAATGAAGGGAGCTAGTGCTGGGAGACTCCCAATCCAGCTGCCACTTTGATACTGTCCCCATTGTTTCTTTGAACCTTCCTCTTCTGAGTGTTCCCTGCTGATGTATCCTGATAATAACTATGACTGCAGAGGTCTGTGGGACCCCCAGTTACCTGGCCCCTGAGATCATTGAGTGCTCCATGAATGAGGACCATCCGGGCTATGGAAAAGAGGTGGACATGTGAGTGTGCTGGGGAGAAGTGCAATAGGGGAGACAGGGATGATGGAAGCACTTGGCTGGGGAGGGGAGGAAGCAGCTAGAGCTGTAGCCAGCCTTCCTTCCTGTCCATCCCGGGGCCAGGTGGAGCACAGGGGTCATCATGTACACCCTGCTGGCCGGCTCCCCACCTTTCTGGCACCGGAAGCAGATGCTGATGCTCAGAATGATCATGAGTGGCAACTATCAGTTTGGCTCACCCGAATGGGATGATTATTCGGACACAGTGAAGGACTTGGTGAGAGGCCAGGCCCGTGGGTTGCAGGCTCAAGGGAGGGCCAAAGTCCACAGTGGGAGGAGGGAGCTATATCATGCCACAGGACGAAGAAGACTGCCAGGAGAGACCCCTGCGTTCTTAAGTGCTGGGAGGACCCTGCCTTGATGTTTTCAGCTCCCCCTCCTTGTTCTCTCAGGTTTCCCGCTTTTTGGTGGTAAGCCCCCAGCGCCGCTATACAGCAGAGGAGGCCTTGGCCCACCCCTTCTTCCAGCAGTATGTGGTGGAAGAAGTACGGCACTTCAGTCCCCGGGGGAAATTCAAGGTACAAGGTTCTGCTCCCCCCAGAGCCCTGGGGCAGTTGCTGCTGGCTCCCCAAGTCCAAGTTCCCAGGTGCCCTTCCTTCCCTCGGGGACTACTTACACCCACAGGGTTTACAGAGCACCTGCCCTACCTGGTGGATGATGGTTCCAGCTCAACTTCTGGCTTCAAGGAAGACAGATGTCAGCTGACTGGTTGTAACAGGCTAAATCTCTGAGCATGTTGGTGGATGGGAATGGGGGGAACACCAGGAAGGGCCCAACAGGAAAAAAAAAAAAAAGCTCAGGGCCTCCCTGCCCTCAAGGGGAGATAAGGATCCAGGGGCAGGATCCAGGTTCTCAGTGCCGGCCCTCTGCAGGTCATCGCTCTAACAGTGCTGGCTTCAGTGCGGATCTACTACCAGTACCGCCGGGTGAAGCCTGTGACCCGGGAGATTGTCATCCGGGACCCCTATGCCTTGCGGCCTCTGCGCCGACTCATCGATGCCTGTGCTTTCCGAATCTACGGCCACTGGGTGAAGAAGGGGCAGGCGCAGGACCGGGCTGCCCTCTTTGAGAACACACCCAAGGCTGTGCTCCTTTCCCTGGCTGAGGACGACTACTGAGGGGTTGGCAGGTGGAGGGCAGGTGGGGTGGGGGCAGGCAGGCAGAGGAAACCACGAAATAGAAGTCAAGGAGTGAGATGGTGTGTAGGCCTCTGTCAAGGGCTTGCCTGCAGTTGGGGCCAGACCCTGCCAAAGGGTCAAGAGCCCTCCTGCGTCCCCACTCCCCAGCTGTGCCACTGTTATTTCTCCTTCTGGGAGGCTCAGAGTCACTGGCCCTTGAGCCACTTCCCTTGGGATGGTGGGGTAAAGGCAAAGGAATCGAATAGCCTGAGATACACAATCACAGGTTTGACTAGACCTCATAACATCCGGATACCATGGCAGCAGGTTCTTCTCCAGGGATGTTTTGAGAGGCAATGGAAACCCTTATATAATGAACAATAGAAGAGAAGCTTCTGCTATATGTCTTTCTGGAGTATTATTTATTTTGTAACTCCCATAATGCAGTTTCACCTGGTAAATCATTCAGTTCTCCTGCACCCTTTTAAGACTGCTACTGCATGTAAAAGAGTCACATTACTGCACTTTACATACAAATAATGGAAACCAGGTTCCTTCAGAGGTATATGAAACTCTACCAATGAGGCAAATGAAGTGTTTTCCCGGTACATTTTTATGTGGAAAAACAAAGAGAATAGGGGAAAATTCTGGCCTGTAAAAAGACTGTCAGAGACTTGAATCAGACAGGGAGAAAGGGGGAGGGAACAAATTTAAATTCTTCAACCAGCTGCCTTTCAGAGTACTCCGTCCTAACTGAGTATTTGGCCCCTACGTGGTTAATATTTGACCTCTAAGAGAATGACTCAGCTCCTGGCCACAGTCAGTAAGTTAGGCCACTTCTCCCAAGAGACAATGGCATCCCTCCTCTGAGGGCAGAGACCTCCCTTTCCCATGGTGAGATGTGCCTGGCACAGAAAGATGGGGGGAAGGAGGCATTTGTGGGGCTGAATTGAAGCACCTAGTTGTGGTTGGAGCATGGCCAGGGAGTGACAAGGGTACCACAGGGACTCTTCTTGTCTCCACATGGCTGCTTACAGCTCTCCATGGGGTCGGCCTGCATCGGAAGCACAGCGGAAGCCTAGGTTGTCTGAGGCTGAATCTGGAGTGTTGCCCATCCTGTCACCAGAAAAGGGAGAGAGAATGGATATTTGTTGAGAAAGGGGCCTGGGCCAATTTTCATGCTCAACCCTCTGAGGACTGGGAGGGCATAGTCTGGGAAGAAGCCTGGTGTGAAAATAGGTCCTGAGTGAGTGCCACTCTTGGGGGAGGGGGATATGAGGAGAGCTTGGGTGGAGGAAATGAGAGGTTTCCAGAGACTGCACTGGAAGGCAGGAAAGGCAATGACTAATAATTCTGTCAGTAGTTTAGCATAACTCAGCTGAGAATATCTGTCTGCTAGAATATCATAGTGCCAGTCAGTACTTCAGACTTCCTAAAGAACTCTCACAAATATTTGCCATTTCCCAGCCACTCTGGAAGGCAGAATTTGTTCACCATTTTACTGACTCAGACTCATGTACTAGAAAGATTTAAATGTCTTGTCAAGCCAACCACTGCTTCAGCAGTACAACAGAATTAACAGCAAACCAGTTGACTGGTCTCCAGGCCAGTAATTTCTCCACTACTTTGTCCTCAAAAAGGAGGTGAGGAAAAATCCAGGGACCTCAGTGTGTTAAAGACATGTGTGCAAATTTGATATCCTGAGGCCACATAAATAGGCTTCTCTCCAGCCCTTACTGAATCCAGGAGTAGGAGTTGCCATGAGATCAACCAAAATAAATCTGCAGATGAAAGAAGTGGACTTCTTTCATCTTTCAAAGGGACTCGGGAGCCTTGGAATCTACCACTTAGGTGCCAACACCAAACATCACTGTGAAGTGAGCAGGCCCAAGGACCTCCCTGAGTCTATTGTTCTTTGATTCTAGAACTTAACGATGATAGAAAACTATTTTCCATGGGCTACCATTTTGAAGAGTCACTGTTTCCATGACCCCTGACCATTCTACTTCCCTCCTTCTATAACCCTAGTTGTTAGGACATGAGGAGAAACACATATAATCAATATAATCAAGATGTTGAACACCAAGTTCCCCTTGGAGCTGAGAGCTGGCAATAAAAGGCACAAGTTGTCTTGGGCTCTTCTGCTTTTCACAGCAAGCACTGCTTGCTTTCTTTTCTGTCCCCATAACTCCTGACAGAAGTAGAGGTGTGGAAGCAGCACCAACACCCGTTCTGAGAGACCAGGACCCAGACCCTTACCTCCCAGCAACCAGCCCCTCACCTGGTAGTGACCCGGGCTCGGTGGTTGGCAGAGCCATCAGCTGTGTCGATCCAGGATGCCCCCCGGAGGACACGCATGTCCTGGTCAGCAGGCTGGTAAGGTGAAGCTGTCCACTCCCACACGTTGCCCATGAGGTCATAGAGCCCTGCAGCACAGCAGGCAGGTCAGTCATAAGCTGGAAAGCACCATACCCACCTCTTCTAGTTATCAAAGGCTCCGGAACTAAAGCTTCCCCAGTGGGGTTTCTTGCTGCCTTAACTATCAGACAGAATGATCCCAACAATCAAGTTGTGGGCATTGACAGCAACCTGATGAGTAATCTTACCATAGTTATTCTGTGGGGGGAATGCCTTCACTGGGGAGACTCCATGGAAGCCATCCTCAGCCGTGTCACCTTTGGGGAACTTTCCCTGAGAGGAAAAAAATTAACCTAAAAGATTTACCATCTTGTCCCAAAGCAGGTGTTCTTGCCCAGGTCACCTTGCGGTATCACCTGGGACCAGTGGAAGATAATAGGGCAGTGATCTTAGGGTCTGTTGATGAGTCCCCAAACCACTTGCCTCACGTCTTCCACCATGACTCTGAGCTAGATGAGGAAGTGTGTGGAGTCCTCTGTGCCCATGGTGGTCCCTGCCAAGCCCCTTCCACTTGTACTTTCTTTACTCCCAGAGCTTCCTCACCTTGGTCTCAAATCCTATGTACCATGGCACCTTGGGAACCCAGTCTCCTCCCCTCCTCCCTGCCCTGCACCTCACCCTTCTCCGAACCACTGTCACTGTTCTGTGTTCTCTAGTACCATCTCTTCCCCTCTACCATCAACAGGTTTAACTCTCTTCCCCTTTATTACCAAAACTCTTGAAAAAATAAACTATATTTGTTGATGCAATTTGCTCACTGTCCTTTTCATTAAAATAGGGGTTCAGCTGTTAACACTCTATGGAAACTGCTCTTGTGAAAGGGAAGACACGGGAACTAAATTTACTCAAAACCTACTAAGTGCTAAGGCACTTAACTCTTTTAATTTAACCTTACAAGGGTATAAGGCAGGCACATTCTCCCTTTAAAAACTAACAACTGAGGGACCTCCCTGGTGGCGCAGTGGTTAAGCGCTGGGTTGCAAAGCTGCCCACAGCCTCTGTAGCACTGGTTCAATCCCCGACCACCGGGCGAGGGTCCCACATGGCACACAGACCTCTCCTGCCGCCCACTGCTCCCCTCAGCAGTGTACTTCATCACTCTGCCTGTTCTACTCTCTGCTCTGGCTCTGGTGAATTCTCTCACCCTCCCGCGCTTCTGACTGTACCCAGTGCTTGTATAAATAAATAAGTAAATCTTTAAAAAAAAAAAAAACAAAACTAACAACTGAGGCTCAAAGTGGTTAATGTATTAAAGATCAAACAGTGAATAAGTCAGATGTGTCTTCACCCCTCAGGTCCTTTTTAATGGTCCCCCTAAAATGTTGATACTCTACTCCTCTCACTTCAGAGTCTCCCTGGGGGATTTCATTTCTGCCTAAGGTCTATGTTCATGACACACTAGCCACTTGCTCTGACCCAGAACTCTCTGTTCTAAGAGCAAACCTCCAACTGAACATGTAAGTGACTCGAAGGCATCTTGAGCTAAGCTGATTCTAAACTGATCAAGTTCCATCCTTGACCCCCAATGTGGATATGATCTATTCTAGATAATGGCAGTGCCCCCACTCTGTTGCCTGAGGTTGGATACATGCTTGAATCCAACTCTCTTCCACCCTATCAGTCTTCTCAGACATGTCTTTCCCATTTGGCTTCCTCTTGACTCCATTTCCACTTAATTTTAAGTGTTTGTTCATAAGCTCCTGGGCCACTGCCACAGCCTCAAATTCAGAGCGCCCTGGCCATTACCATAGCTCAGCTTCATGTGATCTTGCACAAATTAGCAGCAGGCATCTTCCCAAATCGAAATGATGTTGCCCTCTGTCAGCTACCCACTGCCGATGGAGGTAAAATCCAAAGTCATATATTTATGGCTACATTTCATATGTTCTTCATAATCTGTTCCCAACCCACTGTCCACTTCATCTCCTACACCATTTCCCTCTCTGAATCTGTCCTATCTCTGGACATATAGCACCCTTTCCTAATACAGTGGTAACATTCATATTGTTTCCTCTGCTTAGAAGGCCCTTTCCTCTACTTTTCACTTGTCAAACTCCTATTCAATCAACTCAATGTCATCTTACGCGCCAAGTCATTCCCAGCACTTCAGGTGGTAATTTAATTCAGAATTTTTAATATCTAGCATTACCACACTGTCTTTGCTTTACAAGTTTACCATTCCATTAGAACAAAAAGTCCTCTGACTCCCACACCATAACACAACACCTGTCCTATAACAGATCTCAATCAACGCTTTGAGAAAGGACAGGAGGGAGGAATGTATGTCTTACCTGCCACAGGTTGGTGCGGTTTGGCTGGAACCGGTTTCCCCAAGGGTAAACCTGACCTGCCAGGGGAGCAAGGAGATAACAGGAGGGAGAAGTGAAGAGTTGGGGAGGAAGGAAAACACAGAAAGAATGAGGGAACTAAAAGGAAGGTAGAAGATGACGAGAAAAGAGCAATAAGATTACTTAATTCTCCATGCCAGTCCCTTCCACTCACTACATGGCATTCAGAGCTCCTGGCCTCCTGGTTGCTCCAGGGCAGTGCAATCCTAGGTGTGGTTCTGACCAATGTCAGGCTGTAAACTATTTGTTACCAGTTTATATCGAGGTATGTAAGAAATTGGGAATAAGTATTGAGAAACTGGTTAATAGGACTTAGATCGGACCTATGAATAAAAGCAACCTCACTTATCACACTAATAGTGCTATGGCAGAGCCAGCGTTCAGAGTGTGTGGAAAAGTGTTAAATGGAGAACTGCTATTTCACTCTCATAATCTTTTTTAGATTAGGATTGCAGAATGGCATTTATGAGCAAACAGTGAAACAGTGGCTCTTTCTATTAGTCTCAATACACCTATGAAAAGGGTATGTAATTTGAATAATTCTTTTCTTTTCTCCTTATGCTATTTTGTTCCGACTACATCTATTGAAATGTAACATGTCTCTGGACTCTCCAACAATAAAAAAAATATGTTTTCAATTCCACTTTTCCTGTAACATTTTTATGGTATTTTACAGAAGCCTTAGCCTGCAATGGATTAGAAATGAAAGGAATAATTTGTCCTTCACCACATAGTTTAAACATTGCTTTAGGGAGCCTGAACAGTGCCCACCCTTTAAGCCTCCCATGCAGGGCAGGATAGGGAGAATAAAGGGAAGTTGCCTTGGCATCGCTATACCCTTCAAGCCCCCTCGGGCAGCAAACTCCCACTCTTCCTCAGTGGGCAGCCGTTTCCCCCGCCAAGCACAGTAGGCACGTGCATCATTCCAGCTCACATGTACCACAGGGAGTTCCAGTCTCTCTCGGATGCCAGAGTCAGGACCTGCAGGCTGATACCCAGGATGAAGTGAGACAGGCTTCTGGGAGCTCATGGAAGTCAGAGAAAGGCTAGGCTTAGGGTGCCTGAGTTCATCTTTTACCACTAGATGGAGCAAGGAAATTGGAAAAGACAGTCTGATGAATGAGGAGAGGTTCAATGTCAGAAAGAAGAGACTAAAGCAAGAAGTGAGATGGAAAAAGGGATTAAGGGGATTAGAGCAGAGGTAACAGGTGTGCTTGGCTACTTCCCTGAAATGTCTCTCATTCTTTTAAACTCAGTATCCCTAGATAGGCAGGGGCTCCAGGGAATCCAGGCCTCCAGAGAGAGTCAACAGTAGTAGAAAGCAAGATGGAGGAACCAATCCTTACCTGCCTCCAGAATGCCCTTTCCACGGGGAACCACCAGAGAACAGACTGAAAAAAAAGAAGAAGCATGACTGCAAGGTTCTCTGCCCCAGCAAGACCCTTGTCCTGACTGACACAGAGGCAGAGCAGAGCCTTCAGGCTGACATGCAGGTGGTCCAAGAGAGGCTGTCTAGAATCTCTAAAGCAGGACAGCTCACCACCCCTACCAGAAGGGGGATTGTCAAGATGTTCTATTGCCACTTCGAGAAGTATCTTGAACCCTATCATCATCTGATTCTTCAGCACTTCTGAGCAGAGACCATTCAGGGTGAACTTCCTGGGGATGCGCACAGGAATCAGATGAACATGTGACTCCTCCAGGGTGGGTTTCTCTGGCTTCCTCCCTGCCTCCATTTCTAAGGTTTCATTCTCTCCTGTGGCACAGGGTCCCCAGAGCCCATTTCTGTGCAGGTCCCACTCCCTTTCCCTTAGCTGAAAGTGTAGGTTCTCTCACCTTCATGTGCTGGGCCGCTTTGTTTCTAAGTTCTTCCGAGACAAAGTCCTCAAAGACAAAGCTCCACCCAAACATCTCAGCCTCTGTCCGGTACTTTTTTTCCCTGACAAACTCCCTGAAAAGAGAGAGTTCATTTCAGCCAACAGGGTTCTGCGCTTCACCTTCACTTCTCTAATCCAGGAAACCTCGTATATCCTTGCTCTGAAAGTTGGGGAGGACAGTTTTCATGAACTCTCGGCAACTGATGTGACAAGCTGAGCAAACTTTCTTCAAAACTCTGTTGCTGTATGTGTAATTCATATGCAGTAAAATTCATTCTTTAGTGTATAATTTTGGGTTCTGACAAAGTATGTAGTCACTATCACAATCAAAATACAGAGCAGTTTCATCAGCCACACAACAAAACTTCTCCACGCCCCTGCAACTCCTGTTTTTGTCCCTACAGTTTTGCAGAATAGAAATTCATATAAATTAATTCATACAGCATATAAGTCTTTTGTGTCTGGCTTCCCTGGAATTAATTTCATTTGGAAGTTACAAAGACATGGGCAAAAACCATCAATTGACACAATATTGCATCTTCCAATTCTGTTTGCTTTTTTTTAAAGATTTCTTTATACAAGAACCAGGGTACAGGCCAGATGCGCAGGAGGGTGAGAGGATTCACCAGAGACAGAGTGGGGAACAGAACAGGCAGATTGACAAAATACACTGCTGAAGGGAGCAGCAGCTGAGACAGGAGAGGTCCACTTGCCATGTGTGTTGCTCCAAGGCTGGCGGGGATTGAACTAGCGCTGCAGAAGCTGTGGACAGCTTCACGGTGCTGCGCTCAACCACCTGCGCCACCAGGGAGGCCCCAATTCTGTTTTTTTTTTTTTAAAGATTTATTTATTTATTTATTTTTAAAGATTTTTTTTATTTATTTATACAAGCACTGGGTACAGTCAGAAGCGCAGGAGGGTGAGAGAATTCACCAGAGCCAGAGCGGGGAGCAGAGCAGAAGGACCGAAGTACACTGCTGAGGGGAGCAGCGGGCGGCAGGAGAGGTCTGCGCGCCATGTGGGACCCTCCTCCGGTGGCTGGGGAGCAGCAGGAGATTGAACCGGCGCTGCAGAGGCTGCAGGCAGCTTCACAACCCAGCGCTCAACCGCTGCACCACTGGGGAGGCCCAGATTTATTTATTTATACAAGAACTGGAGTACAGGCCAGAGGCATGGGAGGGTAAGAGAATTCACCAGAGACAGAGTGGGGGGCAGAACAGGCAGACAGCCTGAAGACACTGCTGTGGGGAGCAGTGGGTGAGGCAGGAGAGGTCTACTGCGCCATGTAGGTATCGCCCTGGCTGGCCGGTAATCAAACCCACATTGCAGAGGCTGCAGACAGCTTCACAGGGCGGCCCTCAACCCGCTGGGCCACCGGGGAGGCCCTTTCAATTGTGTTTTAATGCATATATATTCTGTATCTATTGCACTGCAAGTTTCTTATTTCATGTAACACCTCATAACTATCTCCTTAAGTATCCTGTTATATTGACACAATGTTTAAGTGAATCTGAAATTGTTAATATTTGTTAATAATGTCATTTTTGGGGGACAACCTTAGGTACTTTTGGATAACTTTCTTTTCTTTTTTTTTTTTTTAAAGCACTGAATTTTTTTTTAATAGAGGCATGTTTTATTTATTTATTTATTTGTTTGTTTGTTTTTGTTTATACATGCACTGCGTACAGTCAGAAGTGCAGGAGGGTGAGAGAATTCATCAGAGCCAGAGCGGGGAGCAGAGCAGGCAGAAGGACCGAAGCACACTGCTGAGGGGAGCAGCGGGCGGCAGGAGAGGTCTGCGCGCCATGTGGGACCCTCCTCTGGTGGCCGGGGAGCAGCCGGGGATCGAACCGGCGCCGCAGAGGCCGCGGGCAGCTTCGCAACCCAGTGCTCAACCGCTGCGCCACCGGGGAGGCCCATAACTTTCTTTCTTTAAGACAAATTCTTGGGCCTCCCTGGTGGCACAAGGGGTTGAGATGCAACCTATGAGGCTTTTGCCAGCCTCTGCAGCATGAGTTCGATCCCCAGCCAGAAGCTACTTACATGGCACAGCAGACCTCTCCTGACTTGTCCGCTGCTCCCCTCAGCACTGTGTTTCAGTCAATCTGCCTGTTCTGTTCCCCACTCTGTCTCTCATGAATCCTCTCACCCCCCCCACACTTCTGGACTGCACCCCAGTTCTTGTATGCATAAATAAATAAATCTTTTAAAAAAAGACAAATTCTTAGAGGCAGAATCACTAGGCCTATGGAGTTTACCATAATCCTGATTGTTGTTCTCCTCAAATCAAAGAAGCAAGTTAGTTTCCTTTTGCACATTAGAAATGAAGATTAGACTTTATTCCCCCTGGAAGAACACCTGATGTACCTGAAATCTTTGTTGGTGACAGGAAATATGTCAATCGCAAACGGTTTGACTGTTACCTCCCGGACAGGCCCTTCACCATCTCTGCCATCTGGAGAATTTGTTCCCATCTGGAATCTCCCACCTGGCAGTTGGACCATGCTAGTAGTGTGCCCACTTCCTGCAGAGAAAAAGGAGAGTCATCAGTAATTCTTGAATATATATATAAAACAAGTGATGATAATCACATTAAAAATAATACAATAGAGTGATAAAAAAAATGGAAGCTTGAAAAAGTGGCTTTAAATTCTTGTTTAACCAGTTAATTTGCTGTGTGGGTGAACTCAGGCAAATTACTTAATCTGAGTTTCAATTTACTTATCTATAAAATGGCAACAAGATCTATGTTATAGGTGATAATTGCATGAATTAATGTGTGAAAAATTGAGCACATTGGAGGTTTTCAACAAATATTTATTTCCTTTCTCTCTATTCCTCTACACAACAATCTTTCGTCCCAGCTAGGTATCTAGCCATTATACCCCAACATGCATCCAGAATAATCATACTTCTGCTCACACTGTTTTTCTGTCTTTTCCTTGCCAGTTGTTTAATGCTTATCAATTTTTAATGTTTTTCACTATTATATCTTATGTTTCAGAAAGTAAAGGACTACATCTACTTTGTCAGTGTATTCCTGGCATCTAGCACAAATGCACAATAATTATCAAAAAACTGAGTGAACACTTCATACTTGCTTTTTCAATGTCTCAGAACAAACTAAAAGGTTCTTTAATTTGACTGCATTATTTAACAGGCAGAAAGTGAGATCCCAATAAGGAAAATGACCAGGGAACAGAAGACAGAACTATATCCAGGTTTCTTTAATTCCAGGTCAGTGTTATTTCCAAAAAGTCATGTCTCTGGCTTGACGTAGTATTTTACAGTGTAAGTTTCTACATAAGGATGTCTAAGTACTGTTAAGTTCCTCAAAGGATCCTATAAAGATCCTATCTTTGGGGTCTCCCCGGTGTGCAAGGGGTTAAGTTTCAGCACTATCAAGCTATAGGCAGACACTGCAGCAGGAGTTCAATCCCTGGCCAGGGAGCTAACCCACATGGCACACCAGATGTCTCCTGTTTTGCCCACTGCACCCCTCAGCAGTGTATTCAGTAGATCCGCCTGTTCTGCTCCCCACTCTGTCTCTGACAAATCATCTCCCGACTGCCCCCTCATTTCTCCCTCCTCCCCATCCCCCCACCACACCACTGGCCTACACCCCAGTTCTTGCATGCATAAATAAATAAAAACAATTTTTTTTAATAAAAAAAGATCCTATCTCTGGCCCTCTTCCCATTCTAACACACGCACACAGATGATTTCAATCACTTCAAGAGGAAAAAACAGAATAAGCAGGAAAATCTTATTAATGAAAATTAAGAAACAACATAGAATTGCAATATATGAACTTTATTTTGACCCTAATCCAGAAAATAATTTCAAAAACTCATAACAGATGAATCTGAACACTAACTGGATGTTTAAAAATATTAAGGCGTACTATTAATTTTTTTTTAATTTTTATTTATTTATTTATTTAAGATTTATTTATTTATTTATACAGGCACTGGGTACAGTCAGAAGCGCGGGCCAGTGAGAGAATTCACCAGAGCCAGAGGGGGGAGCAGAGCAGGCAGAAGGACTGAAGTACACTGCTGAGGGGAGCAGCGGGCGGCAGGAGAGGTCTGCGCACCATGTGGGATCCTCCTCCGGTGGCCGGGGAGCAGCCGGGGATCGAACCGGTGCCGCAGAGGCCGCGGGCAGCTTGGCAACCCAGCGCCCAACCGCCGCGCCACCGAGGAGGCCCTGTACTATTAATTTTTAAGGTGGGAAAAAAATTTTTAGTGACTTCTTGTCTTTTTGGCTATTAAACTGAATATTCATGAATAAAATCTTGTGTGTGAATTTACTTAAAAATGGAAGCGAAGGGGACAAGTGGAGGGATACCAAAGATGCAAGATTAACTGTACACTGACAGCTGTTTAAACCGGGTGACAGGCATGTGGAGGGCTGGTTACCTCTCTCTTACTTTTTGTGGTTGAAAGATTCCAAAATACTGAGCTAAAAGTAAAACGTAAGTGCTACAACCAACTGTTCAACACCCCAAGTTGGCCGCCTTCGCGAAGCGCCGCCGGCCTCTCCAAGCCCATCCAGGAAGCCGGCAAGAGACCAGTCTGGGGGCGCGCCACCCCTCGTGGGGCCTCCCCGAACAAACGGCGCCCGGGGGAAGAGGCCCGGCCGGCACACTGACCTGCCGCGAGCCAGGGGCCAGGCAGCAGCGACAGCAGCAAGAGCAGCGGCAGCGAAGAGCTCATCGCGCGAACGTGCGCCCCGGAAGCACCAGCTCAATACACAATCTCGGCTGTTGCGCATGCGCCACGCACGCGCTTGCGCACTGCCCTTTTAAAAGGCCCCCAGCCTAGCAATAGCCGACAGCAAGGAATTTAGTCAGGTGGCTAAGGTGGTTGCTGGGACCTCAATTTCCTATGGAGCCAGTTGAATTTTTAAAAGGCAGTTTTCTCTGGGTTAGTGCTGAGGGGCTCTGCCATTTCAGAGTCTCCCTCATAACTTGTGAGCTTTTGGGTTCATTTTCCACCCTAAGTACATTCAGATTCCTTTTGTTCCTGGAATACCACTGCAAGATCACAGAAAAGTTTTCAACTTAACATTTATTGCACACTCACTGAAGGCCAATTGCCAACTCCTCAAAATACAAAGCTTAGCAACATACAACTTCATCTTGAAGGACTGCAAAGATATACCAACTGTATAAAAACAAATTTGTTTAAATATGTAGAACAGTAATTTGGGTTAGAAAAAGACAATAGAGGATTTGAGATGGATGGATACTGCAGCATAAGCAAAGGTTCAGAGGTGTAAAAATATGGCCTGCTTGAATTCTCTTTTACCTCGCCTGTTAGTCACCAGGCCCTCAGCAGTATTGTTTGCCTCTGCCACTATTTCTATTTGCCACGTTATAATTGTTGTAGCTCTTGTAGTCCTACAGCTTCTCTAGTTCACCCATCTTTCTATCCACTACAAATTAACTTTTTGGGGAGCATTTTAGCAAAGCTACTTCAGAAGCAAGAAAAGTCTAAATTGATCCAATGAGTTTTACTCACGGGAATTTATACCAAGTAAACAGGGATGCTTTCAAAATCTTACATTACTTAAGTGTTATATTAGCATAAAAAATTTAAACTTAAATGCTTAACAGGGAACTATTGGATAAATTAAAATACATTAGAAGAAATTATTAAACCATTAATTTTTCAAGGAATATTTAATAACAAGATAACATATGCTTATCTGACATGTATTTTTATGTCACTGAAGCTAAAACAAAACATCGTGGTCATTGGGTAGAAATGGGCTGCTTTATGTGTATATACTTCAGTGCAATTAAAAAAATACTGTAAGTATAATTTCAGAACTTGAGAATTTGAGTAGGTGCCAGCGTTTTCCTCCTTTTTTTCTCATATGGGAAAAGAAAATTCCTTTGAAAATCATTTGAAGCTCGGACAAAAATTCCATAGCTGTATTATCTTAGGATCACTCTGTTGAGTCTTCATGTTTCAGGTGATACATGGGAAGCTTCAATTCAACCCTTTAGAGAAGACATTCCAGCTCGCATGATTTCATCAACCAGGAGAATGTTGGTGGCAATCACAGTGCTAAGAGGGTATTAAAAAAATCAGATGATTAGATTGATATATGGATCCTACTTCAACTCAATTTCCAATTAAATTGTGCACATTACAGCCAACTAAATATTCCATTTCTCCCCTAAACACAGGCCTAGTTCCAGTTTCTATATTATTATGGGGGTTGAAGGGGAAAGGTAATTAAATAGAACATACCCAATTAAGAAAGAATGGCAATTCCCTAAAGATTATTTTGTTTTAGCTTTCCCAAACCTACCATGAGTGAAGAAGCTGCTTTTTTACACAATAGTTATCCCATACGCCGACTTCTGCTGCTACCATTGGCTCACCTGAAAAGTAACACATTATTTAAAAAAAAAAAAAAATTATTTATTTATGCATATAAGAGCTGCAATGTAGGCCAGAGGTGCAGGGTGGTGGTGGTGGTGGTGGCGGCGGCGGCGGCGAGAGGATTCAGAGACAGAGTGGAAGCAGAACATGTGGAACTACTGAAATACACTGAGAGGAGCAGTGGGTGAAACAGGAGAGGTCTGCTGTGCTATGTGGGTTAGCTCCCTGGTTGGGGATTGAACTCGTGCTGTAGTGGCTGCTGATAGTTTCAGAGTGCAAGCTTCATAGTGCAAGTTCCCCTTGTGCCACCAGGGAAGCCTGAACCCATTATTCTTAACACTACAACAGCCTAAGATCAGAAAGCTATCTAAAGGAGTAGACTACTTTGTGCTATTGCTTTGCTCATCACAAATTACTCTCACTTTCTCTAATATTAACTATGACAATCACAGTTCCCCAATTAGTCAATTTGGTACTCCAAACCCTGAGTTCTATGCACAGGATCTTTGATTAGTGGTTCATTTCTACTTGAAGACAGTGATTAAGAATGCCCTATTTGATTACTAAATATTTAAACATCTCCATTTTTCTGGACACATTCTCATTTATTACAGTACAGACTAACTTTAACTATAATCTGGCCAAAATGAGCTTACCATTATCCTCAAGAGGAGTCTACATTCTTTAGTCTCCAATTTTGTTCTCCTGATTTTACCTCACCCATATCATCTACTTCTACCCTTACAAATAGTTCTATTCTCTTACCTGTGTTCAAGTCCACACCCACAAGTTGACCTGATTCTGAATGTTCTGCTTGAACTTTAACTAGTGTTTCCTGAAGGTCAAAACCAGAGTTCTGAGCAAGAACCTAAAATAAACAATTAATATTTAAACATAGGACCTAAAAATTGACAACCTATAATAAATGATTAGTATTTCTGGTTAACAAAACACTCTTTTGAATGAAGATTGGACTAGTATTTATATTCCCCCTTCACTGAATAACTAGATGTGTTACTGATCAACTTTCTATGTATCCCACCTGGAAATACACTGGACGTAAACAATATACCCAAATGAGCACGAGACAGTGAATCATGATACTGATGATAGTTTAACTAATACAAATACAAGTGCAAGCTTGTACAACAGTGCAACACCTACACCACAAACCCTCTTAATTGTCAAATATTCAAGTCTACTTTCCAGAAGAACCAAATACATTTGGATAATGAGGGATACGTACTTAGTATTAAAAAGAAAAACCAATGAAACTTGTTATGTAAAATTCACATTAAGAGAAAACCCACATTACATTATCAAAAAGGTTTCATCAGTTGAATAGTTTCAGTGTAATTTAGGAAAGTGATTGCTATTCATACCTTGGGAATAATGAGCAATGCATCAGCAAATGCTTGAACTCCAAGTTGGGCTCTGCCCTTTACACTGGACTTATATTTAACCAGGGCTTCTGCCATTGCCACTTCCACTGCACCAGCACCTGGCACTACACAACCTGTTGGGTGGGTGGAAAAGAGAAATGCTAAGCTAACGCAAAGAAATTAAAACAGGTCAATTAAAAGAAAAAATATTAAAACACATACATAAAAGCCATTAATTTCTTAAGAATTGACTGTAATCACAGTAATTTTAATATTATATCTGAAAACAATACAAGCAACATAACAGATTTTCAGTTTAACTAGGACCTGGAAGCTCTCAGTATTAGTCCACTTACTTGTATCCACTTTTAATAAAGATATGCCATGACGAAACTTAACATACCATCAGTCATTTCAAAGGGAAAACTACTTTTGCATGGTGTCTGGCTGTGTAAATTACTGATAAAAAGAACACAGTATTCAGCCATGCCTTTTAGACCAGCAAGAAGAATACAATTAAAATAAAGATCTACCGTCATCAATAGCATTTTTAACAGCTCTCAAGCCATCTCTTATCGCATCTTTGATCTGAGTGAGTGTGTGCTTATTTGGTCCTTTGACCAGCAATGTCACAGAGCGAGGATTATTGCATTTCTCGATAAAGGTGAACTTCTCTTCTCCCTATGTGAAAGAGACATAAATTTTCAAGAATAGGATATAGCTGCATAAAATATGAACAAGAGGGATTTACGGAGAATTGATAAGCAGCCTATTTACAAGGCATTAACACTGACCACATTAAAGCAAATTATTTCTTTTGAAAAATCGTTAAGAGAAATGTGACTTTTCCATCATGTAAACTGAACAAAGCAAAATTTATTCCTAATTTGAACGAATTTTTACTACTGAAGAATTCATGACCACTGCCTCCCCCCAACAATTTTACTACTTTTGGGAAGAAAATATACTTACCAATGTATACTCATAGACAAGTCCCGCATGTCCCAAACATTCAGGATTTAGGTCATCAAAAGAATTTAGAGCTATCCCACCACAAGCAAGTGTCATCCTGAAATATATTAAAAGGTTTTGAGAAGTATGATATTTTTAGTTACACTTAAGGAAATTAGTAACTTTGTACTATTTCAGAACTAATAAAATTGTATTCTAAAATGTATTTTAACTTAAACCTTTTCATTCACCATTAACCAGCTGAAGCCTAATCTTTTTCTCCTGAGCTTCTATTCAAGCCACTCCTCTCAAGTCAGCAAGCACTTCTCTGATATAAAATCTAAAGGTGGACAAGAGCTTTTTTGTGGGTGAGCTCTTTGGGAGTTATTTCTCTGAAACACCTCGATGCTGATCCTTGCCATAGAAAAATATGTACTCTATTTTCGTGATTTAAAAATAAATATATCTCAGTCAACTTGAACAAAACATTATTCTGAGACTGCTTTTAGTCTACGGCATTAAGCTTAAAGCTGCAGTTTTCAAAAATCTATCAATGTTAATTGAAGACCAACTAATTTATCAAAATAAAAAAATAAAAGATGCAAAAATAAGTAGAGGGAAACAGGGATCAGCCCAGTGAACTTGCAAAATAAGTAAAATTCACACCACTCAAGCTATACCTTTCCATATTTCTCCTTTTCGCTCTGCGCAGAGCCACTATGCCTTCTTTAGCAAGAGCATCTAAGGAGAACGGGTCGATTCCCTGCAATAAAGGCAAAAATTTCAGTTTTCAGTATCTTTTACGTTAAGAGTAAAAATGACACACACTAGTTCACAAATCAAAATTTCTTTCTCACCTTTTGATTAATAACAACAAATCCTTTATCTGAATCACCGACAACTTTCTTTTTCAGTTCTATTATTTTTTTAACTCTATCTTCAATGAATTTTCTTTCAGCTTTTACTAGTTTCTCTCTCTCTTCTGCACTCTTGTAAAAAAAGCCAGAATTCACTTCTCTATTAAAAAAATAAAAGTAGTTACAGAAAGGGGAATTATTATCCTTACAGTAGGCAAACTGAGTCTCACAAAGTGACTTCCCCAGTCCCTTTATTCTCTATTTCATTTGTAAAGGAATATAAACTCACGTTTTTTCATATTCTAATGACACATTACAGGTGAGGATGTATGCATCTTCTACTCTTTTTTTCATATCAGGATGTCGTGCCCCATGGTCCAAAACCAGACCTCTGATTAAGCTGTTACAACACATAAAAATAATATTTATTGATGGGATATAACACAGAACAACAAATTAAAATACTGAATATGGGACTACATTGATTTTTCATACCATAAGCTTTATTTAAGTAATTTGCATAAGACTTTTGGATGAAACTAAGGTTAAGTTCAATTGTGAAAAAGTAGTACTCCAGAACATTCCAAGAACAAAACAGACAACCCTATCTATACAGAAAATTATGCAGAGGAAGTCTCAATTGGTAGGCTATCAAATTGTGATCACCTCCTCTAAAAAATTTTCTCAAATTAGGACCTCAAATTAAAAAAAATTTAATAAAGAATTCCAACAGCCCCTCCCCTCCCACACCTGGAATATTTTGTATCCAACAGTTCAATAAATGCCAAGTGAATGATAGAACTTACTTTTCAGAACTGGTCTGACCATAAACATGCCAATTTCAAGAGGAAACATTACAGAGTAAATAAAACACTATCTTGGCAATATACATTTAGTCAAAGACAAAAAGCCAAAAAACCAAAAACAGCCAAAAAGTATGTATTATAAACAACCTAAAAATCCGTGAACACGCTTCATAGCATTTTACCACCTACCTTGTATCAGTTTCAGATTTATGTTTCATTTCCATTATCTCAACCATGAAGAGGTCAATAGGTTCACCTTGTTTTTTAATGGCCAAAATGGAGTCCACAACTGCCTACAATAGAGTATAACTATTAAGTGAATTTGATTTGCATAAGTGAAGACACTACTGTTGCTACCTCTTCAGAAGTTTAAACAGACTTTTTAAAAATGAAATCTTCCCTTATAAACCTTTTGATGAAAGCTCCAATTATGTCTTTTTTTTAAAAAAGATATATTTATTTATTTATACAAGCACTGGGTACAGTCAGAACCGTGGGAGGGTGAGAGAATTCACCAGAGCCAGAGCAGGGAGCAGAACAGGCAGAATGATGAAGTACACTGCTGAGGGGACCAGCGGGCGGCAGGAGAGGTCTGCGTGCCATGTGGGACCCTCGCCCGGTGGCCGGGGATGGAACCGGTGGCGCTGCAGAGGCTGTGGCCAGCTTCGCAACCCAGCGCTCAACCGCTGTGCCACCGAGGAGGCCCTCCAATTACATCTTTATAACCTGATAGATATGTTATCTGCTTTTCTCAGTTTACTTTTTAGAAGCATAGATCAGGTTATCAAAAATAAACCTACTTATTCACAATAGTATGGTACTGCAAAGACTTCAGATTATACTCTGTAATTGGAATTGGTAAATACTGGGGTTTTCTATACAGATATACTATAGCAGACACACAGCAAATTTCATACCTACCTCTGTTAAGACATCAGCAAGCTCAGCGTGAACTTTAGTACGTAGAGATGTTCTAGCCACATCTATAAGTGTTTCCCTGTCCATGTCTTTGCTTACTTTGACTTGTTCCAAAAACTGAAGTGCTTTTTCCTTTGCAGCTTCAAATCCTTCTGTTATAATTCTGGGATGAAGACCCTGTAATTTACACATAATACCCACACATTACAAGATCACAATTGATACTGGAGTTCTTCAATTAAATGCAACTATAGTTCACGATAAAGGTAGTTTTTGAAGGGACATTCTGGATGACTTCCTACCTTTTCAAGTAAATTTAAGTAAATTAATATAATGTGCTGACTTTCTGAATACATTTAAAAGGATAAGTAGTCCTTTCAATGCAGAGGTAAAGAACAGACATTGCTCTAGCACAGAATCAAAGCCAAGAGAACTATAAAGCACACTTGGCTGTTCACTGTGCAAACCACAAGGAATAATATCAAAAACCTCCAAACTGTGTCATAACAACTTGCAGTTAACAGAACCATTATCTTTTCTACAGGTATTCTGAAATTACATCATTAATAATAAAAATAAAAGGGGAGTGAAGAGTTTATTTTCTCTTGTCCCAGAAATTCTCCCATATCAGATTAGTACTCACCGAAGTTTGTTTTAACCTTGAATAAAACCTTATTTTATTTATTTATGCACACAAGAACTGGGGTGTAGGCCAAAGCAGTGTGTGTGTGTGTGTGTAGATTCATCAGAGATAGAGTGGGGAGCAGAATAGGCATATCTACTGAAATACACTACTGAGGGGAACAGCAGGCAAGACAGGTTGAGGTCTTGATTTTCCATACCACAAGCTTTATTTAAGTTATTTGAATAAGACTTTTAGATGAAACCAAGGTTAAGTTCAACTTAACCATATGGGTTAGCAACCTGGCCGGGTATCGAACTCATGCTGCAGATAGCTTCATAGTGCTGAGACTTAACCCCTTGTGCCACCAGGGAAGCTCTAACCTTGAAACTATTTAGGGCTAAAAATGTTGTGAAATTCTTAAATTTTAAAGTTTTGGTTGTTTTTTTCCTTATAAAATTGCCCAGTCCATAACATCGTATTAATTGATGTGATAAGATAGATTTAAATCATGCATGCCATGCAAATAGATAAAAAACTTTCAGGCAAGGAATATTCCTTAAAACCTGTTCAAAAGCATAATAAATTTGTGTCAGACCAGGATAAAAGATACTAGTTCTCAAATTTAAGCCACCTGAACTTTACATTTGACTATATGGTCTCAGTTACTAATTTTTTTTTTAGATGTATTTATTTATACAAGCACTGGGTACAGTCAGAAGCGCGGGAGGGTAAGAGAATTCACCAGAGCCAGAGCAGGGAGCAGAGCAGGCAGAAGGACCAAAGCACACTGCTGAGGGGAGCAGCTGGCGGCAGGAGAGGTCTGCACGTCATGTGGGACCCTCCTCCGGTGGCCGGGGAGCAGCCGGGGATTGAACCGGCGCCCCACAGGCTGCGGGCAGCCTCACAAGTCAGAGCTCAACCGCTGCACCACCGGGGAGGCCCCCTCAGTTACTATTAACACATGAATCTATAAAAATAAATCTCAAATTACTTCCCCCACACAATAAAGTTTACAGAAACACAAGATCATGTATACTTCAGAAATGTAGAGATCCGCTTGTTTCAGCAGCTCTCCAATGATTAGGACATTGGAAGTGGTACCATCACCAGTTATGTCATCCTGGGCTGTTGCCACTTTGGCTATTAAGGAGGCTGTTGGGTGCTGAATTTGCTGAAATTAAAAAAAAAAAAATTCTTAAACTTAACATGAAGCAGCCCAAATATACCTTAAGTAAAATGTATGAAGGGTTCTTTAAGAACTATCTGCACAAATTGTTCTAGTTTTCAACTGTATTATGATTAAAATCTTACTATTAACTGATTTTGCATATCAGTTTGTGACTGTATAATTTATTTACTTCTCAGATTATCTCCACTTTATTGATGAGGAAATCTGAGGATCAGTAAAGTTTATGAGCTAAAAAAGTAACAGTAACAAATTTCAAAGGCATGCATGCCTCTTTGACAAGTCTATTTGCTTCTGTGAGACTAAGCCAGGAACCTGCTAAACTGAAAGTCTGGCAGCCTCCACTATTATCTGGCATTGACCAAAAATCCAACAAACAAAAACCCAAACTGCCCTTGTAGCAAATATCAGTTGATGCCTCATCACTATATATAGATAGGTTTGGGAAAACCAGGATGTTCTTATCTCCAATGTCACCCACAAAGTCTTAACTATAAAGGATCCCCAAAAAGGCACCTGTACTACCGCACTACTTTTTGTTTCTTTTTTCCTTTTTGGTTTTATGTCTCTTTATTTTTCTTTAATCTAGAACAATTTCCCAGCACTTCCTCTTTGGGAACACTGACAGTTCTCAGAATTCCGGGAGTCATTTAGCAGACTTCTCTCATTATCTAAATTAGCTGGTGTTTTGGCAAGAATACTACATAGGTGATACTGTACACTTCTCATTGTGTTCACTTTATAACTTCTTGTTAAATTATAAATGCCTAATGTACAAAAAAAAAGCCATATAGGTACAGCTTTTGTGACATCAATACTAGACTTTAACTCCAATTGTTCTCTTAGCGCAGGCCACAGTTTAGCCCATTATAAACAAACAAAATCTACATATTCTAGGTTAGCTATCCCTTAGTGAAAATATTTACAGATATGTAGATGTTAAAGGCATGATATATTACTATCAAAATCCTAAATTTTATTCTGAACTCAAACACAGTCAAGTCATTTTCTTTTCATAGAATTGGATTGCTAGGCTTGGGGAATTTAGAAATGACTAAAACATTGCTCCTCAAAATAATCTCATAGTTTTGATCATGGGGACTTTAAAAATGGCAAAGAATTTGATCTCTTCACCCACTGAAGATGGAGAAATGAGACGTAACAGAGGAGAACCTATGTTTTAAACAGAAACAATGGGTAACCATCCATCCTGTGGCATTTTGCCTTATTGTACCAACTGTTCTCAGTTTTCCAGAATTTACATTAGTCTCATAATTACAATCTTTTAACAAAGAATGTAACTGCAAAAGAGTAGGTATTCAAAAACAAGCCTACCAGACTCCTAGGCTCCTTGCTATAACAGCAATAGGGCTGTCAGTGCTATTACTCCTATTTCTTTTCAACTCTCCCCACTCTAAGACAGAGTATCTGCTGTGAGCTGATAAGTGCACTTTCTTTCCACCTTGGGAATGAACGTTAAAAATCTTCCTACGAATCAACGCACCACAGAAAACCAAGACATTTTTGACCTAATATAGCAGCCTCTCACCATTTCATGAAGGAGCACATTCCCATCTTTAGTAAGCTTGATATCTCCAGCACCAGACACAAGCCTGTTCAATGGACAGAAAGCAATCAATGTGACTTTTTTTTAAAGAGACCAAATTAAAGAGTCCCACAAAAACCCGGGTTTCACGTCGGTCCTAGGGGGCTGGGGGGGCCCCGGGGGTGTTCCTCTCCCGGCGGCAGCAGGAGTGGTGCAGTGCCCACCCCCTCCCTCAGAGTTCCCCTAGTCCTGCAGGTCGCTGAAGTCCCAGAGGGTGGGGTGCGCTGCGCACGCGGGCAGCTTTGTTCTCCGTGGAGACGGCATCGATCACCAGCGGTAATGGCCGGGGTGGGAAATAGGATCGAGCCGGGGGCCCAGGAGAAGAAAGGCCCCAGCAGCGAGCGCAGAGGCCCTGAAGCGGCGGGCCCCGATCGCAGGCCCGCGGGGCGCGCGGTCCCCCCCGGCCGTCCCCGCGGCCCCGCCTCACATCTTCATGGTGCCCTTAGGCCCCAAGTTGGTCCTCAGCACGTCCTGCAGTCCCCGGGCCGCGCTGATGTTGACCGCCAACGCCGCCTGGGCGCGAGCCACCTCGGCCTTGGGATTCAGGGTCTTCACGGCCGCCATTGCTGAGCCAACAGAGGAAGAGGAGGGGAGGCGGCGCGCGGAACGCCCGAAGCCGGCTCAGCGTGGCCGAGAAGAGCGATCCGGGTCTTCTGGAAAAGTCGGGCGCACCCGCCCCGCCCCCTGCGTGCCCGCGCGCCGTCGCCATTGGGCCGCAGGTCGGCCGGCGCCGCTCATTGGGCCGCGGCCGCACCGACGCCGCTCATTGGGCCGCGGCCGCACCGACGCCGCTCATTGGGCCGCGGCCGCACCGTCGCTCGTGGCCCCGCCCCTCGTCCCTTAGCAGCGGCGCCATGGCGCGGGGGCGGAGCTTGTGCCCTGCTGTAGGGCTCGCGGGGTTCCGGTGTCGCCCGGGCCAGGACCCAGATTTGCGGCCCGGGACCCGAGGACGTCAGCGGGGCGGGGTCTCTGGGCCGCTCTGCGCGAGGTTGGCCTGTGGGCCGCGCATCTGGCGCGACTGGAGAGCAGGCGGCGCGTCCCTGGAGGTACTGACCGCAGGGCCCAGGGTGGGCCGCCTCGGTCCCCTGCTCGCGAGGTTGGCCCGCTCGCCTCCCCTTGCTGCTTTTATTCCTTTCTCTAGAGATTTCATGACTAAGTACGGAGTGCGCGACGGCGTTCCAGGTACGGAAGGAACCCACAGGTGAATCTGATAAGGACCTTTCTCTAGGATCCCTGGTGCTTTAAACTTAGGGAGCATTAGGAGATATAATGCAAAGCCGCAAATGCTAGGGGCCTGTAGAAAGCTACAGCATACATGGGCCTCCCTGGTGGCACAAGGGGTTAAGATGCAGCCTATGAAATAGCCGCAGCCTCTGCAGCACGAGTTCGATCCCCGGCCAGGGAGAATCCCACATGGCGCGCAGACCTCCCCTGTCTCGCCCGCTGCTCCCCTCAGCAGTGTGTTTCTTCAGTCTGTCTGTTCTGCTCCCTGCTCTGTCTCTGGTGAGTCCTCTCACCCTCCACACCTCTGGCCTGTACTCTAGTTCTTGTATGCATCAATAAATAAATCTTTTTTAAAAAGTTATTAAAAAAAAAAAGCTACAGCATGGATGCGATGATAGCTGAGGAAGAAGCAGGAGTCTGTCCACCTTTAGGGCTTAGGTCTTCAAGGTGTTAGAACAATCCACCCCCAAAGCTTTTTAGACTACACCCCCCCTTCCCCCATCCACATGCCAAAGGGGCTGGGAGAATCACAACTCCCACCATACCTTGGACCTGACTTCCTGAACAAGCGGAGGGCTGCTGGAAACTAGAGCTGGAATTAAATAAACACAGTGTTTGCTTATGGTTGAACATGTGCATGCTCTTGTGCGCCTGCTTTTCCGGCTATCGCTCGCACCTTAACAGTGCCAGGAGGAGACAGGAGGAGGAGAGACACGTAGAAACACTAGAAAGAGACGTGGGTGAGAGACACTAGGGGAAGCTACCCCCATTCCTTGGCAGCGACAATGGCAGCTCGTTATCTTCACTTCATGGTGGATTATGTGGTTCATTTTGAATTTTGAGTCTCCTGTCCCAGCTCTCTGGGACCTGCCTAACTAATATGATTCCCAGCCAGAAGGTACCTTAGTCTTGTGGCAAGCTTTTGGACCTCAGGAGGCCGAGCTTTGAGCCAGTCCTGTTGGGCTGGACATTTGCCGACGGGGGATGGGTAATTTTTTGTTTTATTGGGAAACTATTATTTGCAATACTTTTCTCTCTTCCCACACGGACTCTATTAAAAATCTTTCACATAAGAAGTATGCTTCCTTTGTCTTTGTGCATGCAGATGGCTGCATCCCTTTTAGAACATTCATCCCATAAAGGTTTGGGGTACCTTGGTACCCTTTGTTTGTGCACTGACAAAGGCAGGTTTAAAAACTCAAAAACTTGAGCCTCGATGGTGGCGCAAGGGGTTAGTCTCAGCACTATGAAGCTATTGGCAGCCACTGCAGCACAAATTTGGTACCCGGCCAGGGAGCTGATCCACATGGTGCAGCAGACCTCTGTTGTCTCCCCCGCTGCACCCCTCAGCAGTGTATTTTAGTCAGTCCACCTGTACTGCTCCTTACTCTGTCTCTGGTGAATTCTCTCACTGGCCCCGCCCCCCACACCTCTGGCCTGCACCCCAGCTCTTGTATGAATAAATAAATCTTTAAAAACTCAAAAACATGAGCAGGTGTCCAACCTTTAGGGGAATTCCTTTTTAAGATTAAAAAAACTCTGAAGAAGTGTGCAGTTGTTTCCTAGTATCTAAATAGTCATTAAAGTTTTTATTTTTAATAGTTAATAGGAAAATTGCTCAGACTCAGAAATTGCCAAAAGTATATGGTGAGAAGTAAACCCTCCTCTAGTTCAACTTCTTCCATAAGGTTACCTTTACACATTCTGAATTATCCAGGTGCTAAGAATATATATATACACTTGTATGTATGAGCATTTTCTTAAAATGGCATTTTATAATACGATATTTATATACTATAATTGTATTATACTTAAAAGTAGCTGGGAGAGTGTATCATCTTGATGCAAATAGTGATTCTGCGTTCTTCTAAACAGTGTCTGGTATTTTTTCTAAGAATGACAAAATAGTCCAGTCACCTACTGGTTGACATTTATGTATTCATAAAAGGGGAACACAAGTATATATGAGAGACTATGAAAATACACAAATTAGTCCAGTGTCTTGTTTTTATTAAATCTCCCCCAAAACATATACATTGGTAAAGGACCAGAAGTATGTCCTTCAATGTGTTTAATGTCCAATCATTGCCAATTTTACAGGTGAAAGTGGTATTAAAGTTTTGTTTATTAAGAGTGAAGCTGGGGTCAAATTGGTTCCTTAGACATAACGCCTGAGGTCTTGAGTGTCGCCTTGGCCTCCTGATGGAAATCCACCAATCAGCCACACAGTCCACCCAAGGTGGGGTCAAAAGACTTGCTGAACTATTGGATCAAGTGTCAGAAAAGAAGACAATGCCAAATGGTTGATAGAGCTAAGGCTGTTGAAATAATCAAAGCTTATTTCTTATTTGTGAAGAAAGTTTCTGGTGTTTAAGGCCAAGATGGCATTGCACTGTGCACCAAGATGGGCGGTGCCCTTGCCAACAGGGCCAATAATCCAGTTTGTAAAGAAGACGAGTACTGCCTTGGCATGGCACAAAGAGCAATCACTCAAGCTGGAAAGTGTTGACCTGCATTTACGTAGAGGCCGACTGGGACCATTATGCAAAGATACTGTGAACACAGAACAGTAGTTAGCCCTTCAGAAGATGTAGGCCAAATTTGCTGTGGTCAGATGGAACTCTTGAAGAGACCACCAACTGAGAAGCCATGAATCCAGAGAGAGTGGCATTTTTGTGGAATGTGCTGCCCAGTTGGGTTGGCCTCTCTGTGTCTGATACAATATTGAACAAGTAAGACTCAGATGACCACCAGAAGCCATCCAACAAGCTTCACCCACTTGAAGTGACAACGAGGTCTTCATGATTATAATGCTGCTGGGAGCATTGCTGAGAAGACCTTTTATCTTTAAATTTGCTTGGGGAAATTCGCCTACCCCACAGCCTCATAGAGGGAGTCACCCCAGAAGAGGGCATCAGAGTCGGCAGTCCCACTCCAGGATACACATCCCAGATGAAGGTGGTGCTTACTTATAATATTGATGCCTAGGGCCCGATACCCACTTTGACCTGGATGTACCACCATATACCCCTAATGGTGTTGTCACAAAAGTCTGGGACAGATCATTCTGGAGACTAACGGATATATGTCTCCTGCTTGTAGCTGGAGGTATCGACCAAAGGAGAGTCTGCACAGTCATCTTAAGTGCAGCCTCTATTGGAAGCAGACTGGAATTTATGACCTTGCCTCAGATAAGAGGAGAAAAGAACAGTGATGTTTGATGTTTATTACATGTAAGAGCCATTGGTAGTTTTTTCTGTGAACTGTGTATTCATGTCTTTTGTCTTTCTGTTTGGTTTCCTATAGATTTAAGGGAACTCTTCATGTTTTCTGTGTTGCAATTAACTTGTCCCAGTATTGTTTATATTTGGTATTTATGCCTCTTTTTCCAATTAAACATTAAGTTTTTTCTCAGGTGGTCAGATTTATCTTTGAGTTTCTCTTACGGACATCTGGATTTTGTTTTATTCTATTTAAAACAGGCCTTACACACTTAAAATTTTAAATTTCTCATGTTTTGTATTTTTAGGGTTTTGGTTTTCACTTTAATCTTTGATTCATTTGGAGTTTATATTGGAAAGGAATGAGATAAAAATCTGCAGTATAATAAAAATATTTGGTCTTTGTCCTTGCTGCCTGACAGAAATCCTAAAACCATTGGTTTCCTGGGTATTAGGAACATCTTTTGCTATCTATAATAACATGCTTATAATCTTCTTTTTTTTTTTTTTTTTTACAAGATTTATTTATTTATTTATACAAGCACTGGGTACAGTCAGAAGCGTGGGAGGGTGAGAGAATTCACCAGAGCCAGAGCGGGGAACAGAACAGGCAGACTGATGAAATACACTCCTGAGGGGAGCAGTGGGCGCGGCAGGAGAGGTCTGCGCACCATGTGGGACCCTCGCCAGTGGCCAGGGATCGAACCAGTGCTGCATAGGCTGCGAGCAGCTTTGCAGCCCAGCGCTCAACCACTTCGCCACCAGGGAGGCCCGCTTATAATCTTCTTGAGCCTGTGCTAGTGAGCTGGGTCAAGATGGAGACCCTAGTTAACCTGAGGATGGGGACTAGTCACTAGAAATAGCAGATAGTGATTAGAGGGGGATATGACAATAGAAATACATGAAATACAATTGGATACTCTTCATCAAACATAAGAGGCAAGGATCTGGGGGACCTCCCTGCTGGTACAAGGGGTTAAGTCTCAGCACTATCAAGCTATCGGCAGTCACTGCAGCACGAGTTCGATCTCCAAGCAGGGAGCACACCAATGTGGTGTCGCAGACCTTTCCTGTCTCGCTCACTGCTGCCCTGTTGTGCGCCCCACTCTGTCTCTGGTGAATCCTCTCACCCCCTGCACTCTGGCCTGCACCCTAGTCATTGTATGCATAGATAAATAAAAACAAATCTTTTAAAAAAAAGAGGCAAGGATCTGGGTAGCCATGTTTATACCTCAAACATTCTTGTCATACTAATGAATATGAGGTTTGCTAGTTGCTCCTAATGTTACTGGACAAATTGGGGGAAGAAAAGAACGAGACCAGGGGTCCAAATTTCCACCTCAAGTGCCCCATAAATGACTTGAGAACCTCTGTGTCTATGCTGAAAGATGCAATTCCTGTATTGTGTCAGCAGCACCACACTGTCAAAGAAACGGGAGTGGTGGAGCAAGCTGTACAATGCAGGATGCTGCTCGAAGATCAAGATCCTGGCCTTTTTATTGATAGGAGAAACAAAGAAAAGGATGGGTCAAACTGAAAATATGATTATGTTATTTAGGACTTTAGGAAGGGTGAGTCCCCTGAACAGGTAAACCATACTCCCGACCCCCACCATGGTTCCAATTTCATTAAGGCATTCCACTGATCAGTCTCTGGGATGCAAATTACATCAAGTCAACGCCCCTCCTCACCCCCTTCTTGTCATACCTCAGGATGTATACCCATTACCCCAGGGCGATCAAGCACCCTGCTCTTGTTTAATGTGAAAGGAACCCTGTAGGGTCTGATATGCTACATTTAACAGACCCACACTCCTGTCGCTGCAGAGATTGCTGAAAACCAAACCTAGAATCTCATTATGCGAGTGAGTTACAATACAAACTGAACTCAGCCTCACAGACTTAGCTGCTGTTAAAGTGATGGCACTGACGATGAAGGAATGGGATCCTGAAATTTGGAGTGGGATGTGTGAGAAGACCTTGATGAAGCTGGAGATACTGAAGCCCTAAATTCTGATAAATCATCTTTGCTGGTAGAAGCAGCCTCTCTACCTGTCTCATGAAATTTCACCTGCATTGCCCTAGTGTGTCCCAAACCTGGCAACCTTTTTCTCACTAACGAGATCAGAGACTGAACTTCCAAGGCACACCTGACCAAAGACCATCAGCACTATCTCCTGATAGAATTGGCTTTTAAGGGTGTTCTCAAAAGTTGCAAAAGGCGGGATGCCTTGACCAAAGTGTCCTACTCCTGTAATTGTGTCCCCTCTGCCCGAGGGCCCAGCCTAGAGGGAGCTGGAGAGTTGATTCTCAGCACCTGAGGTTTTGGGTAGTGGTTCAGAGTTAAATCTCACTGCCCAGCTTCAGCCGCTGTACCCCAAAGTAAAAACCCCTTATTTGTTGTAGTCAAAACAGTAATAGTTGAGTAAGTGACATTTAGAAGGAAATAAGATAACAAAACAAAAACCGGAAAGGGGGCGCAAAGATTCCTCTAGGCACTCATGTCTTTCTGCATTTTAGTTGTAAATGTAGGTTTTTTTTTTTTTTTAAGATTTATTTATTTATGCATACAGGAGCTGGGGTACACGCCAGAGATGCAGGGGTGAGAGGATTCACAGAGACAGAGCGGTGAACAGAACAGGCAGATCCACCGCAACACACTGCTGAGGGACGCCTAGGGCGAGTCAGGAGAGGTCTGCCGCGCCATGTGGGTATCTCCCTGGCTGGCCGGGGCTCGAACTCGTGCTGCAGAAGCTGCGGCCAGCTTCACAGTGCTGTGCTTAACAGGGAGGTCCGAACGTAGGTATTTTTTAAAGTTCTTTTGGGACCTACATTCCTACTCATAACGCCCGACGTGGATTTCACAAGAGCCCCCTAACGGCCTTTCCTTAAGTACACACTTTGTACAGAGGCCCCTGGCTTCTCCCGCGTTCTCTTACCGCAGGTGGCGGCGGGGCGCAGCTCCTGAAGGTGGGAAGTCCCCGCGTCCTCCAGGGAGGGGTGGAGGTGGCGCGCGGCCCCTCGCGAAAGCGCGCACGGCGGAGCGCACGTCGAGGCTCGCTGGCGCCGAGCCCGGAGGCCGGGGGAGGCGGGCTCAGGGCGCCCCGCCCCGGGGCGGGGCCACGGGCTTCTTACAGCCCCGCTTTGCAAAGCAGAGATATGCGGTCTCCAGTTTAGAAAAGCACTTGCAACACCGACCAGAAGCTACTGCACGCATCAGCAGATCTCGTCTGATTGCTCCGTAAAGGCTCTGCCGGTCTCCACAGGTCTCCTCCCTCGGAACTCCGCGGCTGAACGTCGGAGCCTGCCCTTGGCCCCTCTGCAGTCCGAAGGTTCCAGCTTCTGGAGTCCTGGAGGCGGTGGCGGCCCAGGAAGGAGCAGCAGCGCCGGGGTAAGTCCCCGCATGTGTTTATCTGCGTGCCCAACTTTCTGATTTGCTGCTCTGCCTTTTCCACATGCAGCGCTTCTGTGATTCTAACCTTATTTTTATGAAGGTAGGCAACATAGTTCATGGGATTTCAAGGCTTTTTTTTTTTTTCATCAGTTTACTTTTGAGTAGTTTTCACTTGTTTTATTCTATTGCTGCCTGTTACTAAATAGCATGAATGAATGATGCAATCGTGCATAGGAGAATCATCAGTACAAGGTCAGGAAAATCTCCAGAATTTAGAGTTGAAGAGTCTGACGTTGTCATCTTCTTTCTCAGTAGAATTAGAATTATAAATAAGTACTCCACAAGTGCGTTGTTGTAAAGATGAAACTTCAAGTTGGGAATTAAATAAATAATTCTTTCATTCATTGAACTTATTTACAATATGTCTTCTTTCCGTGGGAGTTGCGCTTTGTAAGTTACCCTTTAAATATTTGACTGCGACTGGAATGAGGATCTACGAAGAAAATTATAAAATTAAAGATTTCTAAATTTTATTATAGCTGCCAGGTGGGCTTTCGATATAATAATGATCATAGTCCTATCAGTTTTATATTGGTGAAGGAAAGTAGTTGGGACATTTTAAGTTTTCAAATAATTTGATGTATGCTTATTAATTTTTTTAGTTAACGTTTTCTTGATCTACAACTAAATGCAGTAATGCACACACATTTTAAGTATAGATTTTGATAAATTTATTCATACTTGTAATCACCACCACAATGGAATTCTTCTATCAGCCCAAAAGTTTCCTAGAGCCTCTTTGCAGTCAGGGTTACTGATCTGCTCTTTGTCATAGAATTTGTATCTTCTAGAGTTTCATTTAAAGGAAATCGTAGGTACTACTTTGTGTTTGGCTTCTTTAGTCAGTATGTTTTTTGTATTTATCAATTATGGCTTGTATCAGTAATTCATTACTTTTTATTACTAAGTAGTGTTGCATTGTAGGGATATATCACAATTTATTTCTCCATTTATCTGTTGATGGACACTTGGGTTGTTACTAGTTAGAGGCTATCATGAATAAAGCTGCTATGAAATGTTTTCATTTCTTTTAGATAAATCTCTAGGAGTGGGGCTTGCTGAGTCTTCTGCTAAGTATATGCTTCACTTTATAAAAAACTACAAAACTCTTTTCCCAAGTGGTTGCATCATTTTATGTCCTCACCAGTAATGTACGAGAATTCCAGTTGTTCCATATCCTCACCAATACTTGGTATTGCCAGTCTTTTTTATTTCAGTCATCCTTCTTTTTTGAATTTATTTGTTTATCTTTTATGAAATGTCATTTCAACTCTTTTGCTCATATTTTAAAGGGTCGTTTGTCTTGAGTTTAAGAGTTGTTTATTTAAGAGGTGTAAATCCTTTGACAAGCATATGTATTATGGCTATTTTCTCCTATTTTGCGGCTTGTCTTTTTTTTTAACCATCTTTTGAAGCAAAGGTTATTAATTTTGATAATGTTCAATCTATCATTTCCCCCTTTTTTATTTATGCTTTTTGGAGTTTAGGAAAATTTTGCTTACCTCATTTGCTTACCTTATTATGTACTGATTGCTGCATTACAGATTACCCCAAAACGTAGTAACTTAAAAGAAGAAATACTTATTTTCTCAGTTTCTGTGGGTCAAAAAATCTGGGAGTAGTTTAGGTGGGTGGTTGTCTTAGGGTCTCTCAAGAGACTGTAGCCAGGATCAACTCATCTGAAGGAAGACCTGTTTCCTGGGCCACTCACATGTGGTAGGATTTAGTTCCTTGAGGGGTTCTAGCTAGAGCTTCAGTTCTTTACTGACTGCTGGGAGATTCCCTCAGTTCTAGGGCAGCTACCAACATAGCAGCTCAGAGCAAGATGGAAGCCACATTCTTATTTGATTGTTTTGCTTTTAACTCATCAAAAAAAAAAAAAAAAACACTTATTGTGAAATAGTTTGAAATAATATGGATTCCCAGGAGGTTGCAAAGAAATACACAGGGAGTTTTTATTCACTCTTGCTTCCCCCATGACCCTTCCCCTGAGGCCAACATCTCAAGGAGTTGATATTGGCATAGACCATGATGTCACTGTATATGTGCACTCATCGGTGCTACAGTTTAATCTGGTGAGATCCCATGACCTTTGCCTCATTCAATTCGTTAGTCACTAAATCCCTCCCACAACCAAGGGGAGGCCCTTACAGAGGGTGGTAAACCCTGGAGGGGCATTCCTGAGGCCCATTGTAGAGATGCCTGCCACAATGGTGAACATTTTCTCCTATGTTTTAGAAGTTGTTTTTTTTTTTTTTTTAAGATTTATTTTATTTATTTATGCATACAAGAGCTGGGGTGTAGGCCAGAGGTGTGGAGGGTGAGAGGATTCAACAGAGACAGAGTGGGGAGCAGAACAGGCAGATCGACTGAAATACACTGCTGAGGGGAGCAGCGGGTGAGACAGGAGAGGTCTGCTGTGCCATGTGGGTCACCTCCCTGGCTGGGGATGGAACTTGTGCTGCAATGGCTGCCAATAGCTTCATAGTGCTGAGACTTAATCCTTTGCACCACCAGGGAGGCCCATATTTTAGAAGTTTTATAGTTTTAGATTTTGTGTTTACGTCTTGATTCACTTGGAATTAATTCTTTTGGCATCAACTACAGCAGGTCTGGGAAGAATATAAATTCTAAGATTTATTTTATTGTAGCTACCAGCTAGGATTTCGATACAATAATGATCAGAGAACTGTCATTTTTATGTTGTTGAAACAAAATAGAAGGAACTTTTAAAATTTTCAAACGATTTAATATATGCCCAGATAAAGAATGTCAAATAGCAACCTATGAATTCCAAATTAGAAGAGACTTGGGCAGGCCTTTATAAATTAAAACGATTCTATTTTATATTTTAAGATTTATTTATTTATGCATATAAGAACTGGGGTGTAGGCCACAGGTGCAGGGCTGACAGGATTTAGCAGAACAGGTGGATTTACTGAAATACACTGCTGAGGGGAGCAGTGGGGGAGACAGGAGAGGTCTGCTGAGCCATGTGGGTTAGCTCCCTGGTTGGGACTGAACTTAAGTCAAAGTGGTGACAGCGCTGAGACTTAACCCCTAGGCCACCAGGGAGGCCTAAAATGATTCTCTTTTATTACTATTTTTTCTTTTTTTCCAAAATGATTCTCTTTTAGATGCAAATGGTATTAAGAAAAAGAGTAAACTGGACTAAAGAAAAATGAAAACATTCCTTTTGTTGTTCTGGCTCCTCTTGGGCTAAAGCTTTCCCTGACTGATAGGGGAGAGGGATTCAGAAAACCTACACAGGGCCTCCCCGGTGGCGCAGCGGTTGAGCGCTGGGTTGCGAAGCTGCCTGAGCCTCTGCAGCGCCGGTTCGATCCCCGGCTGCTCCCCAGCCACCAGAGGAGGGTCCCACATGGCGCGCAGACCTCTCCTGCTGCCCGCTGCTCCCCTCAGCAGTGTACTTAGGTCCTTCTGCCTGCTCTGCTCCCCGCTCTGGCTCTGGTGAATTCTCTCACCCTCCTGCACTTCTGACTGTACCCAGTGCATGTATAAACAAAAACAAACAAACAAACAAATAAATAAATAAATGAAAAACATGCCTCTATTAAAAAAAAAAAAGAAAAAAAAAAAAAAGAAAACCTACACAGAAGCCAGTCATGCTTGGCAGAGTGGGAAGAAATGTGCCAGACTTGCACCCTCACGTACAGGGCTTTGAGCACGCCTTGTACTCTTTTCTTTCATGGGAGGTTTAGCCCATGTAACTTGAGTGAGAGAAAGGGTACATTTCAACCCTTTCTGAGTACAGAAAGGACCATATTTGAACCGTCTGAATTATGTATTTCCTTTATTGTAAGGAGCTATTGTGGCTTCCTTCTGTTTCAATCTTTATTTTGCTTTTTCTTGCTTTATTTTCTTGCCTATTTCTCATTGATCTTTTTTCCTTTTTCATTTAGCACCTGTATCCATGCCTATTTAGTTTTAATTATGAGGATTGTAATTCAAAGTTGTTGCCTTTCTTCTCTTGTTATTAGGCAGAGGATTCTTGTGAAAATTTTTGGTTGCTGTTGACATACCAGGGACTATTTGAGAGAGTCTGATATGCACCTCAGTGTGCTTCTCTGCATCTGCATTTTGTTTTCCCAACAGATTCTCTTGTCTTTCTCCTTCTGCCCTTGTATACGGGTTCAGGTGATATCCTAGCAGACCTGGAGCTTCTACAGAATCAAAGCCACAGGAAAGAGTGGCATTACTCTCTGCCTTGCTCCAGGGAGGCAGAAGGCAAGTGTTTCCCAGGGAAGCAGTCTTAGGAAACTTTGCATCTGACCCTTCTTTGTACTGGTCCCATTATGAGGGGGAGTGAAGCCGGCTCCCTCTTTCTTCTCATGTGTCTAGACCTTGATGTTCATTTCCTTGTTCTCTCTTTCTAGGATTTTCTTGGTCTTGCAGAACATGCAAGATCTTTCTTAAGATAAGACATTTATAGTCAGAACTTTATGCTGCATTTTTATTCAGGAAAGGAGCAGGAAGAGAAGAATCCATCTCCTAGGAAACCAGCATTAGAGAAACGTGAGTCCAGTTTTTCTATTGTTGTTAGATGTTTGTGTATCAGTTAGCAGTTTACTCTTTACTGGGAAAAAATTGTATGTGGAATGTATAAAATCTTAGGTTCCCTGAAGAACAGCTGTTCTTTTTTTTAATCATCAAATGTACCATAAGTACTTTGGCCACAGACCTTAGTCCTCATTATAGGAAGACTCTTTGACTCTAATCCAGAAGCTTCTCCGATGCCATTGTGCATTGTTTCAGCATCTAGAGGGCCATTTGGTGCAAATATTGTACCCCACGGTCACAGTGGCTGTAAAGCTGGCCCAGGTGGCGCCCCCATCTAAGCCCTGGGAGCTTTGTTCTCTCAGCTGTGCTTCAACCCCCACGACCTCCGTACCAGTTTTTATTTGTTCTTACATGGGAAG